AACCAAAGGAAAAAAAAAAAAAAAAAAAAAACCAGCCAGAACAAAAACAGAATCCAAATGCGCCTCAAAGTATGCAAACGCCAGCCCAGTCAGGCCCAACCTAGTGCCTCTTCTCACCGTCCGCCCCCCCACGGTCGTCCACAGACGAAGCCGACGACTTCTTGTGGACGGGACCGTCCGAGAGACTGGTGGGACGGGCCATGCTGGCATGCTCCTGGATGCCGTGCTGGGGCTCAATCATGCCGCCGTCGAGAGCGGGCTCGCCGCTGGGGGGGCTCCAGGCCAAGAAGTCCCGACGGACCTCGACGTAGTCGTAGGAGAACTCGCCGTGCTGGTCGTCGTCCATGCCGAGGAGCTCGGCCTCCTCCGAGGCCCGCAGCTTCAGGCCGGGGATGACGTCGATGATCTTGGCGATGACGGCGGACATGACGAAGGCGTAGGCGGAGGCGGCGACGATGGCGGCGACCTGCCACCCGAGGAGGCGGTAGTTGCCGTCGATGAAGCCGCCCTTGGCGCCGGTGTTGACGCCGTCGAGGCCGATGACCTTGCCGGTGGCGAAGAAGGCGTTGAAAATGAGGCCGACCATGCCGCCGATGCCGTGCTCGGCGAAGACGTCGAGGGAGTCGTCGATGCGAACGAGGAACTTGACTAGAATGGGCGTCTGGTCAGCTGTGTTTCCTTTCTTCTCTCGTTGCCCTCATTCTCTCTCTCTCTCTCTCTCTCTCTCTCTCTATTCTCTCATAATCTCTCTCTCATAATCTCTCTCTCTCATATCTCTCTCTCTCTCCATATCTCTCTCTCTCTCATCATCTCTCTCTCTCATCATCTCTCTCTCTCATAGTCTCTCTCTCTCATAATCTCTCTCTCCTCGAGCATGGGATCGGATACGGACAGGGAAAAAAGAAAAAACCATACCCTTTGTACCAAAGTTACAGCAGACACCAGCAACGACGCCCAGGGCAATGCTGGCCCAAGGATCGAGGAACCCAGAGGCGGGCGTGGCGGCGACCAGGCCGGAAATGGTGCCGGAGCACCAGCCCACCATGGACCACTTCCGGGCGAGCCTAAAGTCGAGCAGACCCCAGGTCATGGCGGCGAACATGGCGGTCAGGCACGAGTTCCAGCAGGCCATGACGGCGCGCAGGTTGGCGCCAAAGGCCGAGCCGCCGTTGAAGCCGAGCCAGCCGAACCAGAGGAAGACGGTGCCGAGGGCGATGAGGGAGATGTTGTGCGGGCGAAAGTTCATCATCATCTTCTCGTTGCGGCGGCCCAGGACCCACGAGTAGGCGAGGGCCGAGACGCCGGAGCCGATCTCGACGGGGATGCCGCCGGCGTAGTCGAGCACGCCGTTGCGGTACCCCCAGCCGTGGGCGTTCCAGACCCAGTACGCGAGGGGGCAGTAGACGAGCGTGGCCCAGAAGAAGGTGAAGACCATGCCCGGGACGACGCGGCCCCTCTCGGCGACGGCGCCGACGGTCAGGGCGGCGGTGACGGCGCAGAACATCATCTCGTAGAAGGAGAAGAGGAGGGCGGGGACGAGGGGCGAGCCGGCCGAGGGCGCGGCCCAGACGTTGATGAGCCCAAAGTGCTCGAGGCCGCCGATGAAGGCGTTGCCCGACGTCTGGCCAAAGGCGAGCGAGTACCCCCAAAAGTACCACTGGAAGACGATGACGCTGAAGGACATCATGACGACCCAGAGCATGGAGAGGGCCGACTTCCTGCGCGCCAGGCCCGAGTAGAGGAACGCGATGCCGGGGACCATGAGGAGCACGAGGCACGACGAGACGATGATGAAGGCCTGGTCGCCCGACTGGTACCACTGGTTGAGGTTTTCGGTTCCTATCGAGCCATCCGCCGGGGCGTGGTCAGGAGAGGCTGGAACTGTCTTTTTGGGGCCCTCATGCTCAACTGATGGGGTCACCCGGGGCGGCGGGCAGGGGGAGAACAGATGCCGCGAGACGACGACCTGGGCGGTACATACTTGAATCACCGCCAATCTCGTCGTTTGTGCCGTTGAACACGGCCGGCGGCCCGAGGTGGGCGTAGGACATGTCGGAGGGGGGTAGAGGCGACAGAGAAGAGGCACGAGTTTCGAATCGACCGCGGCTTCGCAACGGAATGCTCCGGTTTCGTCTGAGACGTACGCGATCTGGAATTGGAAAAGAAGAAGAAGAATCCGCCTCTGCCGTCGAGTGTCGCGGCACAGCCAATGTGGTCGGGCCGAGTCGGGTCGCGCGTTTGTGTGTAAGTAGGTGGTGAGCGCGCGTGAGTTGAATATGTTTAGAACCAGAAGGAGAAGAAGAAAAAAGCTGACGAGATTACGTGGTATCGCCAACGGAGCAGAGGCGTCTCGAGACGCGCGCGGCAGCCGGGGAATACTCCCATCTATATACGACTCCTCGATACGGACTCACTCGGCGAGGGAGGGACCCAGCAGCCCGGCTGGACCCCCCCCCCCCCCCCCCCCCCCCCCCCCCTGTGCCTGTGCTTGTGCTTGTCTGATGGAGACGACGAAAAAGAAGAACCAGAGACGGGCGTGTACCCGGACAGACGTGGACGGTGGCCCCAGCCGGCGAGGTACGTATAGATAAGGGCCTGGCGCCTGGCGCTGGCCGGGTCGGCGGCGCAGATCCCTGCCCCGGGGGGTGGGGGCGCGCGCGAAGGGGCAGGCGTTCGTGGGTGAGACCCGCTTTTCCTCGGCGGGCTGGCGGCAGGGCCAGCGGTCCAGCGCCAAGGCCCAGGCTGCGCGAGGTAACTACTTACCCAGCACCTACATTTGTGCATGGGTACGGAGTACACATGTCCCCCGGACGTGCTGTGCCGGGGATTCACGTAGCCTCGGGCCGTCGGGGCGACATGGCCGGTTTTCCTGGCGCCTGGTCATGACTGGTGGGCGGTCGCTTTGGTCGTGGCCCGACGTTCCTCCTCCGCCGTGCCGAGTACAGACGCAGGCAGATAGGCTTATCACGAGCGCCGAAAAAGGGGCGTGCAAGAAAGGAAAGGGGGCGCGTGCGCAGTGAGCACAGAAAGACGAGCCGGCCTCGAGTGCTTGCTTGACCATTGAGACAAATGCAGAGGATTAAGCATAACATGTCGAGAAACCCTGGGCAATCGAATCAGCTCATGCAGGCTGACGGTATCGGCGTCTCACACGGAGAGATGATAAGTAATACTACATGACTTGGTGCGTCATTTGCCTTTGCAAAAGACGAGGCAACCAGCCGTGTCATATTTATTCATTGCCCTGCGTGCGGCTGCCGATAGGCACAGGCCTCGCATTGGCTCCCCCAGCCCTAGCAGTCTCGCTCTTGTCTTTATCTATTCAGGGGCCGGGGGGCGAGTGAAGCTCGCGTCTGCGCCCCCAAAAGCGTCGTCCCCCCCCCTCGCGGCCGACACCACGCAGAAGAGCCAAGGTCACTATCAAAGGCCCAACCGTGGTCCTCCCAGGCAAACCCCCCCGAGAAAAGAAAGAAAAGAAAAAAAGCAAAATGTAGTGGGCGAGAAAACGTCACTCCACGGCGCGCGCCAATGCAAACAACGTCGTCCAGCTCCCGCCGACGCGACCTGTCTCGGAACACGGCAACAAACTGAGTTACCCATTTCCCAACCCAAGAGGGCGGGCGTGTGTGGGCGGCAGGCAGGCAGTAGGACGTTTCTGGATGCCTGTCACATGTCAGGTCGAGATGCGGCGGCGATAAGCAGCGTCCCGCGTGTCCTGATTGGCCGTCCCCCTCGGTACTTGGTGCTGACTCAGTCCCCGCCGGCCAATCACCCGCCCCAGACACCAGCTCCAGCTGCGCCGCCAAGGTTCCCGACTGACGTAGCTGGGCCGTGCCAGCGCCCACCCTTGCTGCGGTCACATCACGTCCAACGTGCAACGTGCAACATGCAACATGACGAAAGACGGCCCAGAAAAGGGTCAAAAAGAAAAGGGTGAAAAAGAAAAGGGTCAAAAAGAAAAGGGTCAAAAAGAAAAATCAACCAAAAAAAGAGGCAACGCAGCACAGCACAACTGCTCCGTGCCCCACCAGGAACGGGCGCAAGAACAACCCTCATCCCGGTCCCGGGAAAATGTCGTCCGGCCCCGACTAGCCCGGCAAACCCGCACCCTTATCGCCCAATGATATCTCTGCCCAGGCCGTCGTTGATGCCGGACCGACTCGGGTCCGCCACCATCTACCATCTCCATCTACCATCTCCATCTAAGTTACCAGCCAACCAAGCACTCCGCATTAGCATGCGTATCCATGGACCATGATCCACGGCCACGCCTGCGTCCATGACGTTGCGCGACGTGCCGCACGATCCCCGACAACCTTAATCCTCGCGCGTCATCTCGATTCCCAAACGAGCACCGAGCCTGTCTGTCCTTTCCTGTCTCGTCTCTCAACTATTTGACGCATCAAGGCCACCCCATCATCGGGGCATGCACAGAGCACAGAGTCCGACCACCTCGTAGCCCAAGAAAAATCTGGGGAACCCCACAAAACAGACCGTGGCCCTTCCATCAATACGTATTTAAAAAAAAAGACACCACGAGGCATTGCCAAGGACAAGAGTCGTCTTGCCATCTTATCTTAAAGCAGCTGCGCTACGTAGAGCGTCAAAAAACCTGACCCCTCGACCCCTCGGTCGTCAAGAGAGCCACAGGGCATCGGCAATTTCAAACTGCCACCCCACCGTTGCTTGCGTTCGCATCCCTTTATATCAGAGACGCTGGTATCCGGCCAAATTCTGGGCCTGCGCCAAAACTGCAAATAAATCAAAGGCATCCTAGCAACGCCGCAGGTGTCATTTATGCACCATTACCTCGCCAAAAATCGGCCACACAAGTCCCCTCCGCCCTTGAACCATGCCATACACCCTAGAATATACACAGCTTTCCTGTTTCTTCTTCCCTAGTAATCTCGTACGTCAGGATGTCATGGTTCCTGTAGTGCAGCATCAGTCTGTACCGTCGCGGGACTGCCGCCTGTCGCTTCTCGTCCGCACCTCCCACCACGCCGTCTTCCTGGACCGGCCCTACAGCCATGCCATGGAGGGGGCGCTTGCTGACCCTGAACACCGCCTCATCCGACTGTCGCGGCAGGACCCAGTCGATTCGCAGGCCGTAGTGAAGAACGCCTGCCAGCTTATCGATCGGGCTCGTCAGGCGGGTGGGAGTCACAAGCAGCACTCTGCCGATCGGAGAACCGATAATCACTAGGAACAGTTCGGGAATGTGCACCACCATGTTGAGTCGGCTCGTTGCGCGGAACTGCGGCCTCATGGCTCGGCCAGGAGTCAAGCCCATCGTCAGCGCGTATGGGCAGAGGATTCCGATCTCTGGTAAGCCTCTCTGGTGAGGTTTGTCAAGCGTACGCATTTCAACGTCCTTCTCGTACGTTCGCAGCATGTGATATCGTTCTGCGAACCGCCCCAGCCCGGCCACATAGCCCGCCGTGTTTTCGTTATACTCGGTGTCTCTCTGGAGGAAGGATGCAAGTTTGTCGACGCGTCGAGGCGCCTTGATGACCTTTCCACTGTGAGGCATGTAAATCATGTCGAGCCTCACAGGAGGATTTCTCGGCCGCAATTTCAGACACTCCGTGGAAGGGGGCGGGTAGCAGGCACAGTCACGCAACACGCCTTCACTTTCGGACTCTGACTGAAACGGCGAAGCAAAGAGATCCGTGAATAGATGCTGCACAGCTAGAGACCCCTCCGCGGGGTAGGGGGGAGTGGTCAGCGTGGGATGGCCGACTGGTAGCGCAACGTTTGATGTGTGCGGAGCCTGTGTTTCCTCCGCTTGATTTGCCAATGTTGATGGAATGTCGCTCTGTGCTGCGTATTCTGCGGCATGGAGGATATTGTAGAACACGTCATCAGCCTCTTCCTCGTCCTCTCCGATTTCCACGTCTTGGCCAGCCTCAAGCTCGTCGTCAGAGTTGGTTTCTGTGTTTTGGTCGTCGTCTGCCTCGACGCCTTCACCGGATTCCGAACCGCCAAACTCAAAGGCCTCATCGTCGCTCATGTCGTCAAAGTCAAACTCGTCGTCGCCCATGTCTGCCGCCAACTGAACATCTCCAGGCGCTGGATTGTCCACGTGAATGAGGGTATTTCGCAGTGGGGGTTGTGTGCACGGGTTGTCCGGCAGGTCCCGGATAGTCTTGGCCAGGTTGACCATGGGATGAGGACCGGCTTGGAGTTTAGGCACCATCTCCAGGTCCTTGAGCTCGGCGCCTAGGAGCTCCTCCTCAGAGCGGACCGCCAGAAAACTACTGTTGGGAAGTGCGAGGATTCCCCAGCCGCTGCACCCACCCACCCGGCACAACGTGTCAGACATCACTGTCACCACCAAGTTGTGTTTCGCGAGAACGACCAACGTACCGTGACGTTGCCGGCCAGAACTCCTCGCTCTTCAAAAGCGGGCTGGTCGACGGCATGACTCTGATGGCGGCTTGGTATGCTTTCCAAATATCGGCAAGCCACATGGCACCCTTTATATCAATAGCACTGATCTTCTCCGCGTAGCCATACTTGTCATCAACGAAGCTGATGTTTGGGATATTATCCGCCATGGGTCCCAGTGACACGACGACGCGCCAGTTGCGAGCGCGACGACGTACATGCGACTCCACACCGTCGCAGCAGGCCTCACAATCGCAAATCCGACTCGACCTGGATCCATTGGTGACTAGAGCGGGTGCGAACACGGTTATTTCGTACCGGTTCGAGCTGACAGCTATCAGGCGGGACTTTTGATGCAGCGCCAATCCCCAGGCCGAGAGGCCGACGTTTTCGTGGAAAAAAGGCCTCGGTACGTTGCCCGCGTTCGAGGACGAGACTGAAGCTCGTTGTTTTGGCGTCGCAGAGCTGGATATCTCAGACTTGGCGAGAATGTGCTCGACAATGTCCTTGGTGTAAAAGGCAATGACATCGCCATCGTCGTGACATGTGAGCACAACTTCCTCTTGTCCCAACGACCCGACAATCATATGATTGACCGAGTGAGGGGATGTGGGATCAATGTACCCTCTGAGGCGCAACGCTGCTGGACTCGGAGACGTGACCAGTTGGACATCAGGGTGTTGGGGTATGGTTTGTTTCGGAACGCTTCGCGGGACGTAGACAAAGACGCTGCCGCGATATGCAGAAAAGTACAACTACACGAGTCTTGGTCAGCCCCCGCCCAAAACTTGGGTATTGCTTTGCAAGTAGCGAGTGTCGGCCAACATTATACTTCTGCGACAGGGCAGTCAGGTTGTTTCTGTACGCCTGCATAGTAGGCACCAGCCTGTAAATCGAATTGGCAGGTACAGCATAGTCGTCGTGTTGATCGCCTTCAGAGCCGGGCCAGTTGGTCGGCCATTCCATGCCTGCGGGGTGTAGACCCAACGAAGTGCGCTCACGGTCGAGAATGGCTCGCTTGGCCTCGTCGCCAAACTGTGTCGGCCGGCGTCAGCTCCATCACCCAGCCTCTGTCCTTGCAACACATGTCAAGACCGGGGGGGGGGGGGGAGATAGCAGGAACTGGGTATCAGGCAAGTACGTACCCGATCCGTGGCGGTTTGCGCATGGCATGTTCCTACCGTGGCAGGCCGAAACAAGCGATGCTTTCCCTCTGGGGTTTCCATGAAGGAGAGCTAGCAGTCGCCGCTGCTGGGCCGCAAAATATACAGCACATGTATGCGTGGGGAGGTGGCCGTCGCTGGGTGTGAAGGCCCAAGTAAAACGTTGTCCCTTGGGATTGTTTTGGTGATGATGGGTCGGTGTCGATGCGAGGTCGTCACATGAACTCGAGTGGCAATTGCGGGTGGCAGGTGGCAGGTGGCAGCTGGCAGGTGGCAGGCGGCGGCGGCGGGGCAGTGGGTGGGTCTGGGTCGTCACTGCAGTCTGCCAGCACCAGATGGCACAGTCGAGCACGGCACGCGGCACGTGGCACAGAGAGCTGCGTGCGTGGCCTGAAGACTGAAGACTGAAGACTGAAGACGTGGGGCGCCGCATCGATCGAGCCGCAGAAGCCGTCACGATTCAAAAAGACTGCATGCACTGCGCAGCGTAAACGACAACTTGATAGCTGACCGCCCTCTCCTCCCCATGAATCACGAGATGCCAGTTGCTCGAGGTTGCAAACTCGGGACACGTCAATTCTGGATTGATTGCTCCACCGTCCTCGATTCCTCGATCCCTTTGTCACTCCCTCCTCCTCATGGCCCCAACCATGGCCGTTGTCCGATAATCCAGCACAAGACTGACCCAGTCATCCTCCACCAACGAATAAGCCTCGCTCTCGTTGCCTCTGGGCTTCCTCGGATTCAACGCCCAGTAGCCAAAGTCGGCATCCACCTCACCCAGATACCTCCACAGGTTCTTCCAATACCGCACATCGCCCACGCTCGCCGGCATTCTCGGCGCCCCAATCTCGCCCACCCAGACGGGCGCCACGTCCTCGTCGAGCAGGTAACCCCAGTGCTCGCGCATGCTCTCCCGAAACGACTCGTACGTCCTCTGGGAGAAGCGGCCGCCCAGACTCCCCCATCCCGACCAGGCGTACACGTGCGCCGAGTACACGAGCTTGTCAGCGACGTCGAGCTTCACCCGCCTGCTCCGCACCCCGCGCAGGTCGTTTGCCGATTCCGTCCCTTCCACCACGACGAGCCAGTCCGGATTCATGGCCAGCAGGCGGTTCGCACAGCGTTCGGCCGCCGACGCCCACTTGTGCCACGGCATCGTGCCCCAGAGCCCCCTCACCTCGTTGCGCAGATCGACCCCGATGACGAGCGAGTTGCCGGTAAATCTCGCCATGACCGTCTCCCAGTTCCGTATCCAGTCATGCTCGGACTGTGTCACCCTGCAAATGCCCAGGAGATGGTCGTTGGCCCACGCGGCGTCGCACGGGTTCGCGCCGCAACACCAAGTCGCCCTCGTAATGTGATTATTGACAATGACTGCGATGCCTTGCTCCGTCAGGGTCGTCGTGACGGCCTCCAGGACATCCAGCGCCCTGTGTCCCACGAGGTCCGCGTTGGCCCTGACCAGCCTGGCGTCGACGACGGGGTTTTTGGTCACCAGCTCATCCGCGTACGGGAGTCTGACGCTGTTGAACCCCAACCTCTTGATGGTGTGGGCGATGACGCTGCGGTGCTGCACGTCCAGCCCTCCCGGGACGAACAGCTCGTCGCTCGCGCCGTACCAATTTATCGAAGCGAGCTTGAACCTCGTCCCCTCGGCGTCGACAATGTACCGGCCCCTGGTGCGAAGAGGCAACGTGTAGTTTGTAATCTGTGTGGAGGGCAACGGTGGCGGCAAAGGTGTCTCGCCAAAGGACATGGACTCTTTGTCCGGGATCCAAACCGCCGTCGTAGCCCCTTGCGACTTGTAAACGTACCCAGCGAGGCAGCCCAGGAGGACTACGCCCCAGAATATCCATCGCCGCGGAAGCCTCTGTTCCCGCTTCGTCCACACGACGGAGGGCGAATCTGGCCCCGTCCCTCCGTCGCCATATGCATCTTCGACAAGCCGTTCTGCCGCCGGGGCCGCATCCCCAGCATGCGGCCCAGCTAGTCTCGTCGCCCTGCCCATTCTGCCGAGAGGACAGTGTGTCGCATCCAGCCTGCCTCTGACACACAAAACGCGGCACTCGGGCAAGCGGACCTCTAGTTACATGCCCGTGAGACTCGCGAGGTAAGGTGAGAAGTGCGCACCACACCACGTGGTCGAGAGCGCGCGGGAAAGAAGCAAGAGATGAAGGAGGACTCTTTGTTCGGAATCTCTCCGGCCTGACAGAGTCTCAAAACAAAACGTTGCTGTCGCATCCAGATCCGACGCTCCCGTGCCGACGAGGCCCGACACGAACCTTTGGTGTGGGGAATGAAGGGTTTCGGTGGGTTCAATGTTGCCGGGATGACGAGCATGGCCATGCGCCCATCTACTCTTAGTACGTACGTACGGAGTAACTAACTAACGTTACCCCAATGATCAATCCCATGCCCATCCCCTTGGGCCGTTAGGCCGTCCCATCACGAGCCAAATCAGGCAACCAGAAACGACGTCTCATCCGCCTCTGCTTGTACGAAATTCGGCTGCCCTTTATTGGAGAGATTGGACGGACCGCCAAAACAAGTCTCCCCACGTACTTTCATGCTTGACCATTTGTTCAATTCCAGCTACAAGGCGGAGCTGATTTGGTATCTATCTTGCTATTTTCTCGGCAAACGGAGATAATTGCCCTCTGAACCGCTTTGCTGGCGGGCTTCTTTGCCCACGCCATCTCTCCCACATACGTCAGATCTCCTCAATTCAGCCGCTTGGAACATGTGACCACTGGGTGGTGACAGCGTGTAAGGCGACTCCTCGGCTTGCTCATCATTGCTCATCATTCTTCTCGGCTCGTGGGCCTGCCGTCATGTCGATTTATCCGGCACCGGCAGCCCATCCGCCACCGCCTCGCCAGGCAACCGAACAAACAAAAGCCACATACGTTGCAAACTCCGCAGCCCTCTATGAAACACAAAAAAAAGGTCTAATGACCATGACGCCACGCTCTTTTTCAGTTCAACAAACCATTTTGACAAGACTGGACCAAGTCATGTGTCCCCTTTTTCTTGCTTGACCGGGAGCATCAACATCTAACGTGCAACGACCTCCCCGTAAGGCTTAATTTCAGGCGCAGTCTCCAATGCTCGGCGGGTATAACTTCCACATCTTGTTCATTCGAGTGCATAAACAATGCCCCAGGGTGCGTCTTCGAGTGACCATGTCGCCTATCTTGTCTCTTTTCCTAACCGTCCGGTGGCTCATGATATTAAAATGATAATAATAAATAACAAATAAAGATCCTCCTTCGTGCGTACATACATATAACGAAGACCACCAGATTGCATAGACGCTAAACTCTGTTCATGCCGAGCGGCTTCAAGTCTTGATCGGGTCGCTCAGGTCGCGCAAACGTTTCCTGAGGATCCCATGAGGCGGGCTGCGACGCTCGAGGACTTGAGATTGACGTCGCAGAGGAGGCGTGGTGTCCTGCCGGCTGTCCGAAAAAGTCGGGTGTTTGTCGTCCAGATGGTGGCGATCTCCCAAGGGAGAGTGGTGTTACTACAACGCTAGAGTTCTTGGAGCGTGTTTCGTACGAGCGTGAATTGCGTAAATCTTTCTTGGTCTCGGAGCGAGCATCCACAGATACGAACTCCTTCTGTCTGCAGCTCATGGGTAGGAACGACATGAATAGGTCGTACCAGCCGGTAAACATAGAGATGCGGCCCAATAGGAACATGAGCCAGATGCCGTTCAACTACCACATCATGTTAGCCCGGTTGATGCGCTAGATTTGTCCCAAAGAGGGGATAGTCCATGGTCCGGGGTCAACTAACCCCCAATAAGAGTAACACAGCCGTTACGGTGGCCTCACTGAGGACAATGGACCTCGCATGTTCGAGACATTGGTTCTTGTCACCCCTGGCGCCAATGAGGCAAGCAACCCAGTCTTTGGCCAGGCTGGGGTCCTCTTTTACCGATTGCACAACGTTGTCTTGGAACACGAAGGTGACCGAAAAGAAGATGACATCAGCAATGATGATCAGGACGATTGCAATGCCGCGCCATTGTAAAGCGACAACACGTCTCACACGGCGATAGGCTTGGCGAGGGGACAATGTTCTGACGCTGTTAGGGTAGGCCGGAAGGCTCGACCCTTCGGTCGTGGCAGAGTTGTCGTATAGGGAGGCCAGATAAACTTTAACGCAGTAGCCAAATGTCGCAAGCGTAATGAGCAGAGTTGCGCCAGCAAAAATGAGCAGCGGTATCCACACGTCGGCGAGACTATTCTTGTGGTTGATGTGGCACGTTGGACCAAACCGGAATGAAACACCGCTGAAGACGAGAGCCAACGTGATGCCGAGCAGCGGAATGCCCCAGCCAGCAGCCTGAGAAAAGATCATAAAGTTTCGTCCCACGAGAACCTGCCAACAAATCTGGAGATGGAGAGAGAGCGATCGCAAGAAAACCCACATGACACCACTCCAGCCTCCCAAGAGGAGGAGACTGCCAGAAGTGCCGCATATTTTACTGCTCGACATGCTGTGGGGAGTAATCTGATCGTAGCACTGGTCAGGACGAGCAGCCAGAGGGATCACGAATCCAAGCTAAAAGATCCAGTCAGTACGGCGTATCTCGCGCGAGGTCGGAGCTCCGGCATGTAAATGAATAATGATCGAACTCACATTCATGAGCAGGACTGCAAAAGTTAAACAGAGGCTTAGATAATGTCTACTTGTCTTGTCCACGGGGAGCACTGCCCAAGAAGCAAGCAAGTACACGCAGCATATGACGCTCACGGCCGCTACCCAGTTGGCCACTACGGTCATTGTGTTGAAACTATCTGGGTAAATCCAGTCCGTCATCGGGCAAGTAAGGCAGCATTTCAAGTCATCTGTAACGTCCTGACATACACGGCCTTCGACGTCTATGACATGTTAGCAAGTGTAGAGAGAAGGGCAAACACTGGTCCTGGCAGTGTGAGTTGCATACATCCTTGGCTATGTAAATAGAGGTTCGAGTCGACAAATGGCGTGGGGCACAAATTTACCCCCGTTAGATTGACCATCTTGATGAATCCCGATTCTGCCCCAGCCGACCTCGGGCCTCTCGATCCAAGCAAGCGGCTTGTAGCGAATGAGGCGAAGTGACAACTATCGTCGTTTTCCCGGACCGGTAGATGTTGCTCACGCTGTTGAGACGTGATGAGTTATCGTGATAAGATCGATGGCGCGATATACTCTGGCCGGTTCGCTATCCAGCCGCGGAATGGTGACGGATTTCGAGGCAATTAATTTCTAAGCAGCCCTTGGTATGCAAAGAGAAGACTTGAAAGAAGAAGCGCTGTCGGAATGTCCCGGGAGTCACATATGTACGGCCGCCGAAGGAAGCACTGACAAGGTGTCTTACAACCCAGTGGTCATGAGCATGGCCCCTCTGATATACAGCTATACGTCGAGGAGACGGTGCCGAGCTAAGACGAGCTTGGACTTCGAGAGGTAATATCTGTTGCCAAGGGGGCGTAGCAATAGAGTCGACATCGGTCAATGCAAATCAATTCGAGTCTGGGGAAGTAAGCAGCAGGTGGGATGGATGAGGACATCAGGCCATAAAGTACTTGGGCGTCTTCTCCCGGTCCGCGGGAGACTCCCGCCAGGTTCTGGCTACTCAATATCAGTGTGGGCGGCGTGGGCGGGAATCTCTCGAGGTGTCAAAGAGTCCACAGGCGTGTGAGCGGGTACTTGCAAAGATCCCAGTACCCTGCTCCCCGTCTCTCTCTCTCCTCTGCCCCCATGCTTGAACTAGCCTGAACTCTTCTCGCCTCTCTCCCTGGGCGTTCTGGGCGTCGGAGATGGGGGCCCAAAACGGTTCTCGAAGTGGCCAGTCGACTTTGCCTGCGAGGCAGTTTTGGTTTAGCGTACAAGCGGCCATGCACCTCAACGCGTTGAGCGGCCACCCCGTGGCTGGCTGGCAGTCTTGATGGGTTTTTGCATGGGCCATGTACGTGCCTGGGAGCAGTGGCGGACGTGATGAGGAGGCGACGGGGGCGATGATATTCGTGGCTGGACCCAGAGGTCTTCACACATCAACTGGAGAGGTCCTATATCCCTTTGACGAGTGAGCGGATACGCTTCCAGCGGCTCGATTTGACAATCCCTGCAGTCCCAACGCTGATCCGCTCGGCTCACGGGCACCAGAAGCTACTGGAATGGCAACGGAACAAGCTTCGTCGTGCAATACAGTCGAGATGGATGATTGGAGAAAAAGGGATGGAGCCGGAGGCGGCGATTTGAACTTGATCGCCGCGGGCCCCCTTCAGACAGACAGCAAGAAGCTCCGACAGGCCGGAAGCAGAGTGGAATCACAGGGTCCCTTCAATTGCGCCTCCAATCGCGGTCCAACGCGGCCAGCACGATGCCAGGTTTGCCAGGTGACGATGCGGCGCGCCGCGTGCCCTGATCGAATCAACTTAGAATGCCATGTCTATTGGATCCCGAGGCGGGGAACTCGTACCACGCAAATGTACGGAGTATCCGCAACACAATATAAAATACGGAGTACTCGACGATGGATGGCGCAGTATTCCGTACAGTGTGAGAATGGAAGAGCCGGCCAGGATCCACGTCTCGGTGCCAACCAGTGGCATCGGCAGCAGGCACTCGGCATTGAGCAAGAGAGCTGAAGAGCAGACCGGACGGAGTCGAGTCAAGCTGCTCCATGGCCCACGGCCGAGGGGCGAGCGAGAGGTCTTGGGTAGTCTGACAGGGCGGCTGGAGGTGGTTGTCCGGATGTCGAGATACGTGAGCACGCATCAAATGGTCCAGCCGGTACATGATACCTTCATAATTGGCAAGTGCAACCATTGACATGGGAATAGGCAAGTGCAAGACGGGTGCCAAGTCGGCTAGAATGATTGACGGTAGTTGACTGGACAGTTCAGACCCTGAAAGTTTAGCCAAGAGGGACGGAGTAGGGCCAATGCGAGACAACTTTCATCGAGGGCATTCGGGGCAAAGTACCTGGTTTCTGATAAAATCTCTCGAGGAAAGTCATTGACTACTTCCCTGTTCTTTTACCCACCTAAAGTACATTATAACTACTTACCTACCTGCTTGGATAGTTGATCATTGCTGCCAGAAATAAGCCGGCACTATTGACTAACACCAGGGTCCCTTTCCTACCCCCCACAAACTTCTAGAGTTCCTTGTCAGGTCGCTCGTGGCTAAACGACGTCCGTGGCTTCGGCCAAAGCAGCCGCGTCGCGCATGGCATTCGCGTCGATTGCGCTGCTCCGCACTGTGGGTTGATGCGTCCACGTCCAGCAAACCCTTCAATGTCAGAAATGGCTGCTTCGTTCCTGCACAACTGCCGGGACAAACATGGCGTCGCGTAAGCTACGGCGCTTGAGGCCTGTGCTGGTACGACGACTTGGTTGGATACCATCCAATGGCAAATACTCGCACGAGTCATCAATTGCTGCAGGCAACGATGACCTATTGGTCCAGCCATCAGTCAGTAACAACTATGGCCCTGTGAACAGTGCGTCATGGAACATGCGAATGAACAGCCAGAACCGAGAGGCCCATTCCTCAGCTGAGCAACATCTTTGGCCGCTTGCTGGGGTCAGCAGCCCGTGCTGGCAATGGCTTCCTGCTCCCGCAGCTGAGAGGGTAGTTGGATTGTCCGGCCGAGAGACGTCTGTTGCAATTTGTGCCATGGCGATGCGGCTACTCCCAGGCCACAGAAAAGGAGGTGGCGCTTTGGCCCTCGGATGGGTTTGAAACAGCCTGCGAGTAACAAAGTTCAATCACCACGATTGAGTCTTTTCATGTTCCCTCCGTACCACGGGCCAAAATTGAAGAGCCATGGGATACGATGTCACAATTTTTGACGGGAGCCCCAGCTGCTGACGTCCTCCCCGGAAGCTGCGACTCGCGCGTTGACTGGCCGGCTGCGCCGTGCCTTCCCTCCATCGACAGTGCAAATACGCTTTGGTGAAGGAAGATCTGCATTCCAACGTTGTGGACACGTCTTGCGCGAAATCCATTGGCTCAAGGCCAAGCTGCTCCGCAAAGACAGCGGGAGGCTTCAACTCAATCACACTTTTCATCCCGTCCTGGCCTTACCAAGAAGTCGTCGGGAGTCTCAACTTGATGCCCGCCTGCTGAGCGCCATGTTTTCGAAACTCGGAGCACATTGCAGCCAAGTCAAAGCGAGTACGGAGCACGTACTCCGTAGCTTGGCCAATATCATCAGCCCAGTCACCCGACCTTCAAGCCGTTGACTTGTGATTTATCCAATGTCCGCAGGCTGCGACCCCTCGATCACCTTGAGTCCATGGCCAACTTGCGGCAGCCCGTCCCGGGGTCCAGAGACTTCTGACCACCATCGGCTGCATCTACAACACTCTTCGCCCCTGTGGATTCCGCTCATTGGCCTCGGGCCTCGGTGCATGTCAAAAAGCGCTGCCATATTCCAGGGCCTGCAAGCCGCTGCTCCACTTCCATATCCAAATTGATACCAGTATGTATGTGAGGCAAGTTCTCGTGAGTCGAGGGACAGGGACTTGCCCAAAGACGCATCACGATTGTGCTTTACTGACCGGGATAATATCCAACTTCGGTCAGGTGCATCTCAGCGGAAGCCTTCTCCAGACGCGCGTTACACCTTGGGACGGTTGTACCTTGCTTCCAACAATGTGTCAACGTTACTCATGCAACCCAGCGTTACAACCGTACAACATAGTTGTACTACCATAATACCTCAGCGATATACGGCGTGACTGATCTACTATCCGAGCATTCCCGCTTTAAAAGCCTCAGTGCGATACGTATGAACCACATATAAAGAACCGAACATGTCGTTTCGCATGGCGCCAAGTCTGGGGTTTGCGCTCCAAAACCAATGCTCTCGGTATTCTTCCGGCCGGTGTGGCAACTAAGGACCATTTAGTGTGCATTGTCACCTGAGAAGCAGCTCTGTGGTGAGACCGAATTCCTGCCTCTTACCACCCAGGGTGGGATGATGGAAGGCTCGCTCGCCAACAGGACCCTGATTCGTACAAACATGGCATTGAGAAATGCATACGGCGTCAGGCGTGTGAAAGGCCCATGCCTACCATCAACCATCACTTCGCTGATGAATGGGGCATTCCTGTCTCACAACATGCACCGGCTCTTTGCACGTTGAGGAGCTTCGTGTTGCGGAAGGCTCTGTGGTTGGGTTTTCTTTGGGCGTTTTCTTCACTCGTCCTGGTACCTGTTCTGATTGTCTCTCTGGGCGGCTGTCGAAACAACACTGGAAATCCTTTGTGCTTCTTTATGGCGACATCCAGAGGGCGAGTTTCAAATGAAACCAACTCTTCCGCTCCAGCGGGACCGAACAAATGGCCTTTGCCCAGTTCCCATCATGTCAAGATATCGTTTTTTTTTTCCCAAGCATAACTATATTTGAGAAGCGTCGGTAAGGCCAGGTTGACGAAAGGTACCTCAAGTCAGAAACCAGCAAAGTGCCAGTTTCCACCTAACTAGATACCGGAACATCTCCAAGAACCATGCACCTGCTCTCAACTCATCCTCCAATTCGTACATTTAGGCAATGCATCCACTGCCAGATTGACATGCAGCTCTCGCCGCCGAACCACTTGTTTTGGATAATGGCCGACATGTTCACGCTCGAGTGGACTTGGGCCCTGTCACAGTAGGGGCTCTTGGAATGTCATTACTTGCGCATAGGCGGGGCTGGACATTGCGTTGCGACCCGGAGTTTGTCATTGTGGTATCAGTTAGATAGTCCGGAGCAGCATGAGTCCTTGAATTTAAAGAACTGCGAGGTGACCAACGAGCCATGGTTGAGATGGTACTGCATTAGACAACTTGCCCAATGACCTGAGACAAGCGGCCAAGGAACACGGTGGGCGGAGATGCTGGGATGCAATTGCTGGGCCAGCATGACTTGCTTCGATAGGCGTCCTAGTACTCCGTACAAGGTTCTTAACCTCTGATAAAAGGGCGGATACTAGAGTCCGTGTGGTCGCGCGAAAAGTGCGAGGCTGCCCTACAAAGGCCAGTGGTGTGGTGTGGTTTGTGGACGAGTGGTGAGACAAGTGATGTCGTTGCCGCATACCACGGATAGACTGCACCAGTTCGGCAAGCGACAGAGGCGTTGTGGGATGGAGACGGTCTCCCAGGAGGAAGCTTGTCTTTGCGGTTGTACATCGCAATGTGTCCCGCGACAGTTGTACGGAGTGGGATGACGTGTACAACAGCAGCACGTCACTTACAGTCGACACGTTCTCTCTAGAATGCCACGGTTTAATCTTGGTACCAGACCATTTGGTGAAAAAAGAAAAGGAAAAGGGGTCCGGGTTACAAGCTCAACTAGAGGATTTCTTGCTTGCGCCCAAGACGAGAATATCAGGATATCAGAGGCGTGTCTGGCCTGGACTGCGTCCGACTGCTCCTGAGTCAAAGGCTAATCCCACCCACTCACTGCTTGCTTGCATCAGTGCGGAAGTATCCGCTTCATTGGAGAGGAACTCCGATATTGCTAACTGCGGTCAATTGAGAAAAAAGGAAAGAGAATAGCAGAGACATACTGCGCAAGGTGGACATTCGCTTTTGCAGTTGCCGGTTGGCGCGCGCTTGTGAAGGCAAGACTGCAAAAAAAAGTGAGAAAAGTTGCTCCGCGGCGGCCTCGCCTCAGTAATTGGGTGCTGGAGCCTGCCTACATCACGTGAGGCCAACTTTCATTGATCCTATCACCTCTAGGCTCTGCGAACTCGTCTCCCTGCTCTTTCACGACACCTCGCATGCTTCACATTTTCCGCGACAAATTTACGTTCTTTATTTTTTTTTATGGCGTGACTGTCCCGCCCCCCTCTCCTCTCTTCCCTCTGTTGCGAACTCGAAAATATAAAACAATGACAATCAGGCCAAGCCAAATAGCGAACTCTGAACCATAGATGACGAGTCCCTTGACGCTCAAGGGGTGCTGAAAAACTACCGACAACAAAGACGCAACGTCTCCACTGGCATCCAATATGGCGAACTTGAGAGATATACCCGCATCTGACTGCGTCTTGAACATGTCAAAATAATGTCGGAATACACCACCTGCCAGTAGAACAGCAGCAACCACGGCCATCAAGGTTGCAGGCCATTGTTGACCTCGTCCTCGTGCTACTCTGAGCGCAAGGACCAACCCTGCCTCTATTGCGCCTAAAATAGTGCCTGTGGACGCAGAAAAGATGAAGGCTTTTGCCAGGCTCCATTTCTGACCATAGTACTTGCACTGGCCCCAAGTCCACAAACTCAGGAAGATGAGTATGTTCGGCTGGATCTTGAGGGCCACGTTGAAGTCGTCAGCAATGTTGTACACGCCAAGAGGCACCCCGGCAATGGCCCAGGATGAAAAGAACGTGGCAGACAATGATTGACTGTCATGTCGTCGCCAGTTCTTCCAAATCTGCGGCAGAAGCTGCTCGCGCGTCAGCAAAAACAGGTAACGAACGAAGATGAGGTGCGAGTTCCAGATGACCCTACCTGAAGAGACCACAACACTGCACCCATCGTACCAAAGACATTTGCAGCGACAGGGTTGTCCATCCCGACTCCACGAAGAGCGCGAAAGCGACTATCCATGAACCACCAGGAAGCCGCATGCCGGCCCCTGGTCGTTTATATATATATATTCGGAATGATACACTGTAGCCAACACCGTACTTGTGACTTCGTACCTGGCTTGGAAATTAATTGCGCTTGATCGTGATTGGAGAGTTTCATGTTGATATGTGGAAGCAACTGGAGAGAATCTGACGGCAGCGATTGGCTCCACATCGGAGAGATAGTCGGTGATTGGACAATTCTACACGACGACAACGCAAGTCTCTCGGCGCAGCGGAACCGCGTCTTGCGGCCAAACTGACGAGTAACCTCGAGGAGAATCGAGATGCAGAAAGATAACAGCCTACACTGCCACGGGAGTTGGCCTCCATTTTCGGCAGACCAGTCTGGTCATGACGAAATCATCACCAAGTGCTGCACTCACAACAAGAGGGCAAAAAGGCCTCCCTCAGAGTCATGACTCCTCTCGCACGACCGCACATGATAACGTTACCCTCGGAAAGGCACCTCTCCATGTCAGCACGCTGGCTAACAGTCTCTCGCCGCGACCCCTCGGCCAACTCATCTTTCTTCTACGGCGTAACTTCAACCCGCATCTTTTGCCGCCCTACATGTCCTGGCCGTCTTGCGAGGCGATCCAATGTCACATTCTTCGACAACCAACATGATGCATCGGACTCAGGCTATCGCCCGTGCAAGAGATGCCAGCCCTGCAACCCTTCCTGGAGCAGGGAGGTCCGAAGTCGCGCTCTCGCGCATCGTGCCCGGGACCTTATTGTCGCTGCCGAGGCTGACGGCAGAGATCGAACGGTGGAAAGCCTGGCTCAAGACCTGAGAATCAGCGGCGCATATCTGCATCTGTTGTTTCAGAGATATTTCAATACCACTCCCAAATCGTTCGCACACTCTCTACATGGTGCTATACCGCCGTGCAGGGAGCGTTACGTAGGACGCGGAAGCCAAGAACAGGAACCCCAAGATGTACAGACTATACGGCCTTGCCAAATGGACTTGTTATTTTCGGATGTCGACTTTACAGATCCGTCGATGGACTGGTCGTCACTGGGTTTCAGCGGCGAGATAACCGGACATGAGAGACACTCCGGCTACAAGCTCTATGAGGTCTAGGCCGGGGACGGCACCAGGATGAAGCATGGACGGCAATAAGCCGGGGGAGGCTGTTTGAGTTGTTCTGGGAAAATCTTACCTATTGCGCCCATAGATATGAAACTGGCAGGATGGATATGTTCAAAGGAGGGGGTGGGAGGTTTACCGGGCGTAAAACCTGAACGGCGTCGGAGCGTTGTGAAGAGTCGGCGTTGTGAAGAAGGGTGCTGCGGCCGTGGGAGCACACGTTATAGGGTAGGCAGGTCTTTACATTACTAGCGTGCGCAACTTTCCATCGCCAATGTCGTCCTACACCTACCTCAGTCGACGGTTGCAATAAAGCGTCAGGCGATGCCAATGTTTACCCTGCCATGTCACTGGCACCAATTGTGAATCGCATACTCCGTACTCTCGACGAATCCGTACGCGAGCAATATCGCGAAACGCCCCACCGTGGAAAAAGGTGAACCATGACTCCTCCATTCTCTCATCGAAAGCCTCACCACTCCTCCTAGCCAGGACAAGGTAAATCAACAAGCCACGACATCTTGTCAAACACCGCATCTCCGCACCTCCGTCGCCTTGCCGAGAGTCCACGCCCAAAGCCCAGCCTCCAAGACACCACACGGGCACCAAACACCACACACACACACACCCGCACCCTCACCACCATGGCCGTACCCATCTCAACCTCCCACGGGCTGCTCCTCGCGGCGGGCGAGCCACCAGCCACGGTCCGCGTCCAAAACATCCGATCCACCATTCAAGGCCCCTCGGACGCCTGGGGGCGACAGGGCCGCCCGCAGCCCATCAGCATATCCGTGACGGTGGGCATGGCCAAGGCCTTCGGACCAACGTCATCCGCGGACGCCCTCGCCTCCGACACAGTGCACTACGGGCTCCTCGCCAAAGCCGTCCTCGCGACGCTCACGCGCCTCGACGGCCGAGGAGCCGCGGACCGCCCGCCCACGCTGCCGGCCGTCCTGGACTCCGTATGGACCGACCTCACGGGCGCCACGCCCGCCGGCACGCCCGCCTCGCCCGCCGGCGGCCCGCCGTTCCTGAAGCTCGAGTCCATCAGGAGCCTCCAGGTCGAGCTGCGCCTGCCAAAGGCCACGCTGCAAGGCGACGGCGTGCGCCTCACGGCCGCGGCCGTCTTCGCCCACGGCGCCATGGCCCAGCGCGGCATCAGGCTCAGCGTGTGCGACCTGCGCATCCCCATCCTCATCGGCGTCAACCCCAACGAGCGGCGCGCGAGGCAGGCCGTCGTCGCCAACGTCGACGTCGACCGCTTCGACGACCCGCGCGACAGCTACTCCTGCCTCGAGGGCGTCATTGCCACGGTATGTCGCGTCGCGTCGGGGCGTGGCGTGCCCAGACCAGACCAGACCATCCTTGCCTCCCTCCTTGCTTCCCTCTCCCCGTCTTGACAGCCGCGGCCGCCAGCTAACCTTTTTCTCGTGGGGGCGGTGCAAAGGCAATGACAGGCTCGTCCTTTGAGACCGTCGAGGCTCTGCTGGCGGACGTGGCTGCACACGTCGCGGCGTACTTGGCCGAGAATCATGCGCAGCCCGCGGACGGAGGCGGCTGGCAGCTCCGGGTTGCGGTAGAGAAGCCCATTGCCGTGGTGTCTGCCGACGGCCCCTGCGTCGAGTTGCGCGTCAACACGAATGATGTCCTTGTCACAAACACAAAGGGCGCGGCTTCGTCGCGGCAAGATCCGTCCTCGTCATGAACTGGGCTCATGTGCGCATGGGCCTCAGATACTCTACACACACACACACACACACGCATGACTTGCGCGCGGTCGAATGGATGCAGCGAGTGACGCGGGTAGTAGGTAGTGTCCGCGGGCTTTACTTGTCTCTAGAAGATGCCCCTGGGTTTGGAATCGAAAGCCGCCGTACGGGGTTTACAACCAATCTATGGCCGCCCCCCCCCCCCGCAATTTTTCTTCTTCTTTGCACTAGGGTCTACACGTAGTATTACAAGCCGTCTTGAGCAGAAAACGGCACGTCACCATTAGTCACCTCGCGAACAAACGCCGGGTCAGCATCGTACATCATCACGTGGAAGTGTTCCACGGCATCAACGGACTTGAGCGCAGCCCAGTTCCTGAACCACACAACCTGCCCGAGGACAGAGCGGTTAGCACACAGACGGAAGCACATGGGCAGACCCGGCCAGGTGGAGGCGGGCAGCAGAAGACACCATCTAGACAGTGGACACGCAGCACCACCCGTGCACGCAGACGACAAGATATCCGGCCTCTTCGGTTTCATTTGACCTCGGCAGACCGCGCCTTTCTGAGGGTTGGAAAAAAGCGGAAGGGGCAATCAACTCACGTTCTCTGCCGGGACGCGTGTCCGGAATGTCCTGCTCACAAAAGCGTCAATCTCTCCTCTCGCCTTGTCCGTCAGGTCGCCGCAGGTTGGGTTGATTTCAAGCTCAAACTTGGTCCAGACAACAAGATGGACGACTCTCTTGTCCAGGCCGTAGGGCCAGTCGTTGCACAAAATCTTTACGTCTTCTGCGTACTGGAAAGGCGACCCCCGCGGATGGATAGGGGCCTGCCACCGCAGTCGTTCTTGCAGAACGAAGCTGGCAATGCTGCCGTGTTGCTTGGCCAGCTTGAAAGCGAAAGCCTTGTAGCGCCTCAGCTCTGAGGGGATTCTCTGGAAGGCCTCGAGCCGGTTCTCTCGGATGATGCTGCAGATCTCATCCCATGCCAGAAGCCTGAAGGCGGAATCTGGCGTGCCGACAATACGGCGGTCCTTTTCGCTGAGGCCGGCAAGAAACGGGGGGCACTCGGGGGTCAACTCATGGCGAGGACAGTTGACCTGCCAAAAGGGAACGGCGTGGAAAGGACCCATGACGGTGGGATGAGACTGCGATGGGCTGGATGGCTATGCGGACATGAGGCGACGTCGGACGCTCTGGGACCGTTCCCGTAAATGTTGGCCGAAAGCGTTGTGCTGATAAAAAGAACGAGGTGAAGAGAGGGTTAGGAAAGAAGTGTAATGTAATTTTTTTATGAACAAAAAGGGTGAACAAGGTCAAGATAAAGTCCCAGACAGCAAAAGAGATCAAGTCCATGATTGAGTCATGTCTAGCCCTTGGCAAAGACGCACAACTCCACCTGTCATATCGCTGGGCAGCGAGAAAAACAATCTCCCAACTGTCGGCTGTGACGAATCGAGTCGTGGGCCGACAAGGAGCAGTTTGACGATGCGCGGAGATGCCTCTTTCACAACGTGTTGTGAGACCACTTGCGTGCCACGTCGACGGATAAGCACATGTTGTTGCTGGGTGGCCAGGCAGCCGGATGCGGGATGCAACGTTTGTCTCTCGATCTGAATCAGGCTGACTAAGCATCACCTGTGACCAGCGAGCAACTTGGGGTGCAAGGTGAGAGATGTGTTGACATTTCAGTCCAAATGGCCAGGCATTTTGATCGGGAAAAAAATCGTACCAACACTCGTACTCGACAACTGCCTGAATACTACGGAGCACTCCGTCCTTGAAAAGCAAGTGAACGGGTTGACCAATGCAGTTCCCACGTGTCCGGATCAGCCCCCGGTGAGGTGGCCTCCAGGCCTCCAGGATTAGACCTGCTGAGCATTTAATAATTCACATGTACTCTGGGGTGGTGGTCGTAGCAGCAGCAGCAAGTAGTGTGTATTATCAAGGGGCCCTAGGGGGCCCAGGAAAGGCATCAGTATTAAACCGGTTCCGTCTTTGGCAAGTTCCCCCTGCAAATGTACTCGAGAGGCTGCGGCGCACCGGGTGCATACCCGTCGGGTCCAGTCGGGGCGTCACCATCATCCCACGGTATGTATTTGTTGCCCAGTTGTGAGAGGAGTACATCCAAGAAGGTCGTGTTTCTGTACTCGGTTGTCCGTCAACGCTGCCTGGGCGACGAGGCCAACCAAGCCAGCACCCGTCATTGCCAATTTTAACATGAGTCCGCTGAACCCCTGACGCGAGATTATCATTGATTCCATTTTCGTCTCACGTTGGGCAGAAAAGCGGCAGGCAGTGATAGACGGGGAATCGTACCAGACAAAGTACCTGAGCTTAGCATTGGGTACCTTAGGTACTCCGTACCTGGTGCCTGGTACTCCTCACTCCGTACGGAGTAGTCAACCGCTCAACCTTTTTCGCGGACCAATCACGTGCCTCTGTCACGTGAAAATCCGTGCCTTGCAGCGGGGAAGTGACTGTTTCGTCTGGCTGTCTGGACGACATGCAGCCACCCCTCTCTGCCCATGGACGCGGGACGGGGAAGGTGAGGGGGTGGGCTGCGCGCTTCTGTCACCCGAGGTTATTTAATCGCGCCCCCTCCCCCCCCCCAGGGCTCAAATGTCGCTTGTGTCTGGTTGTTGTTCCTTTCTTGCCGTCATTTTGCTGGTGGGGATGGGCGGCGAAACAAACAGGAAAATGGGACTTGGGTTGAGATAAAGTCAATGGACGGGAAAATTGTCCCCATGTCAACCTCTCTTCTGACGTCAATCTTAGCGCCGGTTGGTAAATTGATCCTCCCGCTGCTCCAAGCGGTCCAAGCATCATTGATTGGCCCCTCCTGGCCGCCTCTAGCAAGCGAAAGTGCTGAGTGCTGGGGCATCTCGTCGTCCGCCCGTCTCTCCACAAAAAAACAGCCTGCTGGTGAACAGCAGACCCGCCGTTGCGCATTCAACGCTGAGCTGCGAGAAAAAAAAGCTGCAGTGGGGGGACAAGTGGTACCAGTACCGGCTTTGGAAGTTCATGTTGTACCGTGTACGGAGTACCCAACGCAGCACAGAACGCAGGCTCGACAGACCAGGGCCGCCTCTTCTACTTACTTGGTGTTGGCGTTTCATTTCATGGGTCTGGGACTGGACGAGACTGGACTGCTGCAACCTCTCAATTCTGGTTGCCAGCTTTCAACCAATACTGCTCAACCAAGTACCGCTACTAGTACTCCGTAGTGCTAACTTCTAATAATAAGTGACCGAGCTTTCCCCTCCCCCGCCTTCCTTGGCATTACTTCTTTATCGTCGACATTTCCAACCTCCGTCATCCCCCCTCAATTCTCCTGAATCTCCCGCTCCGGTTCTCGAGACGTACTCGCAATGGCTGGCGTCGTGAAAAGCGCTCTACCCACGCATCTAAAGCCCGCGGGCAGCGGTGGCGATGACAATGGTTTCGAGAGACGCCATCATGGCAAGACTCGCAGCCACATGGTTAGTAAAGGCTCCTTTTCAGCTCTGTTCCTCACCTCGCCCTGTTCCGCATGCTGTATACACTCTGTATGACCCAAAGACTCTGCGCGGCCTGGCTCTGCGTCTCTGTCTTTGCTGCTCTCGGCTTGTTCTGCTCCTTTTGTTGGGGATCCCGAAGCCCCCAAACAACGCATTCACAAAACCCAGCACGCGTCACTCGACAGCTCTCGTGTGGTATCTTGGCGCATGGCTCGAGCTTATTTGTTCCGGCCGAACCAGCTATGGCCGTGAATGAGCGCGTCCCCAGGACCTTGTTTGATTCAGCAGCTCGGACGGTCGAATATATTGGAAGCTCAATCTCATGGTGCAGAGCCCCGATAGAAGCAATGGCCGCGATGCATAGTCCATGGTTCCTTCAGCACCGATTCATCTGTCCTTGACGAGTACAAACAGTCCATGCCTCGACCTTGCCGCAGCTCGTTTGTCCTGCGGCTGCGGCTGCGGCTTGGTTTGCCGGTCTTCAACTCCTCAAATACATGCCCGTCGCCTTCTCTCTCACACCCTCAACGCCTCTTGTCCAACCATGGCTCGTAGACTGCCACGACCTGGCGAGAGCCAGCTAACTGATTCACAGGCTTTCGAAAACACCTCCACCAATGTTGCCGCGGCTCAGATGCGCAATGCCCTGACCAACCTCGCCGAGACTGTCGAGGACCCCAATGACAAAAAGGTGATTGCCACACCTGCCAGTACATGTCGCAGAGCAAAGAGCCGGAGCTGTGGACTGACTGCCACTGCCGCATGTAGCTCTTTGAGACGGAAATGGACAACTTCTTTGCCCTGTTCCGCCGCTACTTGAACGACAAAGCCAAGGGCAATGCCGTGTAAGTTCATCTCCAGGTTGGACCAAGGCCATGGACGAAGGCGGGAGACTGACATGTCCACGTAGTGACTGGGATCGCATCGCCCCCCCGGCCCAGGGCCAGGTCGTCGACTACGAAGACCTCGCAAACTCCGAGTCTGTCAATTTCCTGAACAAGCTGGCAGTCTTGAAACTCAACGGTGGCTTGGGTACCTCCATGGGCTGTGTGGGACCCAAGTCCGTCATCGAGGTCCGAGACGGCATGTCCTTCCTCGACCTTTCCGTGCGCCAGATCGAGTTCTTGAACCGTACCTATGGTGTCAATGTTCCCTTCCTCCTCATGAACTCATTCAACACCAACGACGATACTGCTGCCATCATCAAGAAATACGAGGGCCACAACGTCGACATCCTCACGTTCAACCAGTCTCGATACCCCCGAATCTACAAGGACTCGCTGTTGCCAGTCCCCAAGGACTTCAAGTCTCCCATCTCCGAGTGGTATCCTCCCGGCCACGGCGACGTCTTCGAGTCCCTGTACAACTCTGGCATTCTGGAGAAGCTGCTCGAGCGTGGTATTGAGATTATTTTCCTGTCCAACGTGGACAACCTGGGTGCCGTCGTCGACCTGCGCATTCTCCAGCACATGGTTGAGACCAATGCCGAGTACATCATGGAGCTGACCAACAAGACCAAGGCTGACGTAAAGGGCGGTACCATTATTGATTATGAGGGCTCCGTCCGCCTGCTCGAAATTGCCCAGGTCCCCAAGGAGCACGTCAACGAATTCAAGTCCATCAAGAAGTTCAAGTACTTCAACACCAACAACATCTGGCTCAATCTCAAGGCTATCAAACGTGTAGTTGAGAACGATGAGTTGGAGATGGAGATCATCCCCAACGGCAAGACCATCCCCGGAGACAAGAAGGGAGAGTCGGACATTTCTATTCTGCAGCTCGAGACGGCCGTCGGTGCTGCCATCCGACACTTCAACAACGCCCACGGTGTGAATGTTCCTCGCAGACGCTTCTTGCCTGTCAAGACCTGCTCCGACCTGATGCTCGTCAAGTCGGATCTCTACACCCTTAAGCACGGTCAGCTACAGATGAGCGCCGCTCGGTTCGGCGACGCGCCCCTTATCAAGCTCGGCGGCGACTTTAAGAAGGTTTCTGATTTCCAGAAGCGTATTCCTTCCATCCCCAAGGTCCTTGAGCTTGACCATCTCACCATTACCGGCGCCGTCAACCTGGGTCGCGGTGTCACCTTGAAGGGAACCGTCATCATTGTTGCCACGGAGGGCAGCACCATCGACATCCCCGCTGGCTCTATCCTCGAGAACGTCGTCGTCCAGGGTAGCTTGCGCTTGCTTGAGCATTGAGCTGTTGGGGCGAGCCGTGGAGTGGGGATGGATGGAGTAAAAACAAACAAAAAAAACGCCCCGCATGGAGTGGTGAGCCGCGGCTCAGGCAAGTCTGAGCGGCATGAGGCTTTTTTCTATTCAATTTCTAGCATGGACTACCAGCCAGTGGGATGGGAACGACTGGCACAACACAGTATACAATACTACACGTACATTAGTTGATTTCGGGCCACATGATGCGTGACTTGAGGACGGCACTCCGTACCTCGCACCTCGTTGGGCTTGTCTTGGGATAGGAGCGGGAGTGAGAGCCGGGCATTTGGGTCGCAAACGCGAGCTGAACACGTGGTCTAATTCAACAAAACAATGGGATTTTGTCCTCTTTGCCCGTCATGGCATTCACACCCAGGCTTGATTCGTGTTGTTTTGCGGTGGATTTGATGACGCAAAAATGCCGAATGTACTCTTCATGGTGGGAACAGGCATCGAGAGGCATGACAGAGGCATGACAGAGGCAATATCTGCATGACCGTGACCGGGACCCCAACCAAGCTCGGTCACAAGTGGGACTCATTTCCCGGGGCGGGAGGCCGATGCGGACGCCACACCACGCGCCAGTCCCATTCACGCATAACAAAACAAGGGGCTCGGCCAGTCTGTTGCGGCCCTCAGGTAGTTATTTGTTCGACGGGCGGACCTGACACATGACTGCGAAACGGCGTCACAGTTTTAGGCGAGGTGAGATGGATGGCGCCCGGCAAACAGGCGGAACGACGGAGCAAACTGGCACAAGGAAAGAGGACGCCAAAAAAAAGAAAAAAAGGAAGGATTGACAAAGAGAATAAAAAACGTAAACAAAAAGAGAAGATGAAGAGAAGAACGAAAAAGAAAAACGCGTCATCTTGTTTGAGGAGCCACGTTTGTTTGCAATCAATAAATTTGACCGCCGACAGCCAGCCCTACTGACCGAACTAAAATTATCATGACGGGGATGCGCCCGCTCATTCCAGCCTTTGCATGGCCCGTTTCTCCAAGGAGTACGGAGTACGGAGTACATCCGGCCCAGTACTGGTACGTCGTGAGCTGGTACGACAAAATGATGAGCGCCATGGCCCATGATATTGTACAAGGATCCCCGAGGTGACGGCCGCGGCGACGTTCTCGACCTATTTCGCTCCTAGAGTAAGACACGGCCGTACTCGGTACCCGGTAACTACATGCCATGTTAGCCCTGGATGGATGGATTGTTCTCGGCTCCTCGTCAGACGGACGACATCTCTTCCAGTCTGCACGGAGCAGGTGCCTGGATGTTGCGCATTTTCTGCAAAAGACGGGTCCGCACGCAGAGCGTCCCCGTGCAGGGGTATTGCCGACGAAACAGGGAGCCAACTCTCCACGAAGCCGCCCAAGGCACCGAGACGCACGGGGAAAGTGGTCCGTCTCCCTAGAAACATTGCAGACTGGAGAGTCATTCACGCCCTGGGCATGGCGCGCCGCGCGGCGTGGTGCAGTTGGAGGCGAGAGACAAGGGGCTGCAGGTGCAGTAGTAGCAAGTATGTAGTTCTCCGTAATACGGAGTAGTAACTTATTAGTTACTACTAGTAGTGACGACTCCGTACTGCTACTCCGCACGCAACGTCCTTCAACCTGTGCAGACGTCGGAGAGGACCCTGTGTCGCCGGCGCCACATGATTCAGCCCTCACGTACTCCGTGTTTTGGTCATCAAATGTTGCCGCCGCCATGTTTCGCGAGGCAAAAACGCTCGTCCACGGTGCCACTGCTGCGCTCAGTAGCTGACTGCTGTGATGCTGCGGTTTCGCCGTCACTCCGTACTACCACCAGGATTCTTGGCCTTGCCCGCAAATTGAAATTGGCCTCCTTGCCAAGCGGGAAAATGGCGCGACAGGTCTCCAGGCAAACTCAATGCAGTGGAACCACCTGGACAGGCTGGTCGATATCGGACGAGTGATGGATGCACCTCCTGGTCTGGCCGTTGGGAGGGACACTTGCCGTGCGTCCGAAGCCTCCGTTGTTCGCTGCGACTCGACATGAACATGAACATGAACATGTCGCCCGTTTGTGTGTCGACAGACCGCGATCGGTTCGTGGCAGCTTGCTTGCTGGCCGGCTGGCTGGCTTAGCTCGTGTCGTGCAGGGCCAACGGCTTCCTTGGCTACTCCCTACATGCATAAGATGACTGACTAGCGCTCCGTACGGAGCGGTAGGAGGAGAGATTGCATGGCACGGCCCACCGTCGTCAATGACCCAGGCCTGCCAAGTATGGCATACAGTACATATACTCCGTAGGCACAGGGGTTTTCGCAGCTTTGAAATTGGAGGTGTGGAAACCATGACTTGACTAGCCCTGGCCACCAGGGGCTTCTCTCTGGTCACGACGAATACGTCGCCCGCCGTCTCTTCCATGGCGACGCCTTGCAAGTCAGGGCTGAGCCGTGAAATCTATTTCAATCTGGGGTACGCCGCAACGCCTTGCCGGGCAGATCACCCTCCTCTGATGCCTCTTCGATCCTACGTTGTGTAGTAGTACCCATTCGTCAGCTTGCACCATCGTTTGGCCACCTCCAGTCTGAGCACTTGCTTGATTTGCCAATGTAAGTCTTGACACGAGCACGGTCCTTCTCCCGGTCCATTGCACACTCGGCTGCACATGGTCGACATGCCATCAATTCAACGTGAAATACCCGCACATCCGTTCGTTTCGTCGAGTCGACCGTCGTCTTGCAGCTGCCATTGGTGGGCATTTCGCAACGTCCAAAGGCGCGAATGTGATGGGATGCTTGAAGCTCAGTTGCTCCGGGCTGCACTGAGCACCGTCACCGTCGCCGTCACCGTCAGCTCAGCTTGGCATTTGCTGGGGAGACGAGTCGTGTCTTTGGTTTGGCGGCTGTGTCGTTGGCCTCGGTTTTAGAACCACACCCTGTCTGGGCCAAGGCAGCTGCAAACTAGCTGCTCTTGCCACTTGCGCCGGCGAGTCATGGGCACCTCGCTTCACTTCGATTGCTCCGAGCGTCTGCAGCTGCCAAGATTCACTACGTTTCGCCATTTTGGTCTTTCTTCTTCTTCGTCTTCATCTAGTAAACAAAAGTAACACTCGTGCAAAATACAAACCACTCTTGCTGACCAGCGTCGAGTTTGATAGTCTACGCAGTCACCGTCTTTCGCACGTTACCGGCATTCAAGATGAAGTTGGCGCTCGTTCTTTCGGCTCTGGTCGCCTTTGTCGCTGCCCAGAAGCCCGAGTTCCTCAACAGCAATTATCAGATTACTGAAAACCAGCCGTTCAACGTCAAGTTTTCTGGTAGCAGCAAATACACAATCAGCCTTCAGACCGGCCCTCGATCCGACCTGAAGAGCCTGAAGACCCTCGACAGTAAGTCCAGACCTGCTTTTGAACTTGGAAAACGAAGACGGACACGGCACGCTAACACGCTCAAAGCTGACGCATCCAACGGCTCTGCCGATATCGTCCTTTCTGGCGTTCCTTCCGGTACCTACGCCTTGAAGATTGAAGACAATGCCGACCCGGCAAACTTCAACTACTCCCCGCAGTTCGCCTACGTGGGCACCGGTGCTCCTCTCACGACTTCCTCTGCTAGCACGACTGGCTCTTCGACCGGCCCGGCTACTGTCTCCTCGTCTCGGGCCTCTTCCGCTGCCAGCACTGTCGTCAGCAGCCTTGCCCGCAGCACTGAGAGCTCAATCCGGAGCTCAATCGAGAGCAGCACTACCGTGTCTTCCGTTGCCAATGCTACCAGTGGTGCCAAGAACTCGTCCACCCCGGCCCGTTCCACGGCTTGTGAGTAGACTGCTGATATAAATCGATTCCAAGTCAGCTGATGGATGATCCGCTGACCAATTTGTACAGCCCAATCCCTCAGTTCCACCAGGTCTACTACCGCAGTCCCAACCACCATCCCCAACGCTGGTATTCGTGCCACTCCCATGGCTTTCGTTGTCGGCGTCGTCGCTGCGCTCGCCTACCTCGCCTAATTTCATGCGTGACCGGCTTGAGCGTTTAATTTTTCTTTCAGCGGATGGGTTATGTATTTAATTCGGCGCGGCCAGCTTTTTAGTAGTTCTTAATTCCCAGTCAGCGTACTTGCGCTGTAGACACATTGAGCCAACAACACAATGATCACGAACCGGGTCTCCTCTCCGGGGTCCAGCTCCTTGAAAGGGTTGTCGTGTAAAGATTGGACGTTGCTTCGCATCATGAACTGCATGAACATGATAGGCTATAGACCGGTGTTTGCTGCATGATTACTTGGTGGTTAATGTGCGACTTGACGTGGTGTGTGTTGGGTTGGGCTGCGATGCAAACTTCCGTCATTGGTCTCAATGCGTTGACCTCGAGTCGCTACGCCGAAGAAGACAACACAAAATTACGAAGACGAAATGTATTGGAGTGGACAAGTACCATTTCTGACCCAGAGTCCAATTGAATCTGAACCTCGCCAACCTGTCGTTGGCACATGTGGCAGCAAATCCGAGCACGTCCCCCTGTTCCGAGTCTGGCATGGATGCCTTGCTGCTTTCCGTTTCTACCCCAACCAGTTTCTATCCGGCATCTCGGACATCTTGCAAGTTTGCACGGGTGATGTTTAGCGATTAAGGAAAAGGACAAGTAAGAAGAGGGAAAAAAAGTAAAGCGCAAGTACAGGTGCGACCCTAGACGGCCAGAACGACCAAGCCACTTCAGGAAAGAGATGAATAATGGTATTGATGGCCAATGATGAAATGTCAGAAAAAGGCAACGTAACAAACCACTGGGACAAGGAAACGGGAAGAGAAAAATAACTAGTCCTTGGGTCAGAACTGGAGCTAAACATGTGGTATCGTCGAGTGTTCGTCACATCGTCACATCCTGGTGTCATCCACCTTGGAAGGTTCTGGGATAGTTGAACGCCGACTCTATCCTACTTTCCGCTTCCATTGCCCATGCACCAACCGCAAAGACATCAGACTCGCATGAGTCGACGCTCACGGGTGCCCACGGGCCGAGGAGTTGGGAAATCTCAGCCTGATGATGCTCCTGTGTAGCGATGGAGACATTCGTCTCGGCACTACATTCCTGGCAGTCGGAGCACCGGCGGCGGCATCGGCGACGACCATCATTGTCGCCGGACGCGTACATTCCGACAGGGCTGTTGCCCGGGTTGTCGAAGCGCTGGACGTTGGTAGCTGTCAGTTGCTGGCCCGGTTTGTGGCTACACGTCTCGTCTTCGCTGCAGTTGTATTGGGCAGCGCTGGCCGTCTGGACCATGACCCAGTCTGTGCTGTCGTCACGGCAAGACGGGGGCGACGGAGACGAACGCGTCTTCACAGAGGGAGAATAGTGCGTATCGACGACGTGCAAGCCATCGTCTTTCCTCTTGCAGTCGGCACCCTTGCCTTGGGTGCCGTGGGTGGATTTGTTGGTGGCGTGGCGGGCTGTTGTTGACCGAGACCGGTGAGCGAGGTTGGCACGGCGAGGGCGTCGGAGGGGCATTCTCACAAAACACGGATGGGTGGTTTGCGAAATGGCTTTGCAGGATGGGAGCGGAACAGAGTACGGGTTTCAGTTTGCTATATATGTCGACGGATGTCACGAGTCACGACGGATCCGGCTGGATCGTGCTGGTTGGGTGGCCAGCAGGAGGGCTGGCAGCAATGCGAAGCAGGACAACGGGGATGAATTGTTGTAGTATTTCGCAAGCCTCAAGGCAGGTAGCTCCTCGAGTAAATCGGGTGCCGGGTGGTAGTCTGCTGAAAAGACGGATGATGAAGGATGGAGTGAGCGGGTCAGAGCGAATGGTTGGGGGAAAGGAAGTCGGTGGGCGCCCGGCGATTTCATAGTTGGGAAGGTGCAAACTGCAAACAGAGAAAGCGACTTGCACTTGCGGCCCAGGACATAACTACATACGTAAGCAACCTACTCGAGTACGCATCTTCTCATGCAAGGCTGGGGCAGGCTGGGGCACGACGAAAAAGCAGCGCGCTTCACAGCTTGAACGCCTCATCGCGGCAGAGGCCCCTAGGCTTCGGGGCCGCCATGTCGCATCTGTCAAGTTGCTTGGGCCTGCCCGGCTCACGCAGGATCGACAGTTTGGACACTGCACGAATTGAACAACTGGGAGCCCGTCAGCATCGGCTCGCACCGGTTAGAGCTTGGGACACGACCGTGTAAGTCACGCGGGCGGTGGTATCGCTGGCATCAATCTCGGGCCAGCAAGTAACTTATCCATAACGATGGAAAACGTCGGCAAGCACGCGCAGTCGGCGGTTGCGCGGAGGCTTGACTTGACGTCAGGACCCTGGTAAGTTGTCTGCCGTGTCGTTCAGGATCCCTTCGACTCCTGATCAGAACTGTACGGAGTAGTGTAGCTGATAAATCCCGGGCCGTCCAGCAGGGCTTTCGAACCGCCTCACTTTTCCTGCCTGGCGGACCCTGGTCGCGGTCACGTTTCCTGCCGCCGCTGACCCACGTCTCGTTCACCATCATGTTGCTGGCTGACGAACAAGGTTGGGGCTCCGATCTGAGCCTCGAAGCCCCAGGAACTTATGAGACAGAACCGGCCCGAGGCACTGGAGCTGCTGGGTTGGTGAGCTCGGATGAAATAAATACCTCGCTACGTACCGGCGCATTCGGACGGCACATGTACTCTTGAGTGACTGCATCCCTTTCTGAGCTGTGCTGGTGGCCTGCTGGCGCGTTGGGCTTTTGCAAGGAAGCGATACCAGCCATCCTGCCGCGGGTTGCGGGTTGTTCAATAAGACATATGGCCCGGTTTACTACTATTCTTGTTGCTCTTCATGCAGCTACTATCCGACCGACCGTTCTAGCTACTATTATCAATCGACGCTGCCACACAACTTGGCAGACTTGACAAGGTGCACGCAGCGAGGACAACACGACACGACTCTGTTTGACTGGTCTAGACTGCATTCAGCGAGTAGACAAAATCGCAAGGCCCAAGTTTTCGGCCCGGGGCGTAGCTCGCGTGCAGAAAATTACATTGGCGTGGTCCCAAGTGGTAATCCTTGAATGCACATCTGATCTGATTGCGTCAAGTTAGTTAGTTACATGGGCACAGAGAACGACCGGGCGAAGCACATGTACATGTACGTATACAGCATCCACGACGGGGTTCATGTTTCTGAATGAGGCGTCGCGACACCCTTTCTTGGAGCCAAAACGACCATGTCGATGAGAGCCGAGGGCATTGTGCTGAACTTGGCGGCCGATCAGCTTCACTTATTACTCGTCTTGCAACCAGACGGCCCGTCTCCCTCTCCACGAGGACCTCGTCTGCCGCGCCCGGTTTCTGCTGCATCCACTTCTTCTGCCGCTTCTCGAAGCCTGCCACGTTGGGTTCAGCTGATCAACTGCATCATATGCATGCATGCCCATCGACGCCACAGCATTGGCCAATGCATCTTCACCAAGACCTGTTCAAGGGCCAACTTTAAAATCGCTCATGTTTGGCCCATACTGGCAGCTGATTTTGGGCATGGTCCTGTCGTGTAACAGCTTCGGCCCGTCCGAAGCCCGGGTGAACAGCAGTCCCAGCCTCTTCTCACATGTACAGAGGAAATCCACGAGTTCGATGCGAGACATGGCCATTGCCCGATGCTGTCGTTCCGTATGATGAAATGTATCCATCATGGATGTTATGAATGATCATGGCCGTGCGAGCTAGTTTCCGTCGGGCTTGCCGGGAGTGAACCCGTGACAGACACGGCGTCCAAGAAGCTTGAGGATAAACCGAAAGTCGTGGCCAAGTAGATGGCGGTTCAATCATGCGGCCAGCTCATGGCTCGCCGCTTCGTAAGCTTGCCATGCTCTGCGCACATTCTCCATCCCCGCTTCTGTGCGCTTCGGTAGTCATGACATCCTACTCTGTCTATTCTTTCAGGATGAATCAACGAATTCATGTTCCTTGGCGAGGGGCTATTTGTTGGAACTCCAAAATTGCTGTCATGCGGAGGACTGAAAGTCCTCGGGACACCAAGTCCACGGACCACAAGCAGCTCCACGTAGCGGCATTGGCGACGACGAACTGGCAAAGACTAGATGAGGTGTGTAACCAAACTTCAACAGGCATCAATTAACGATTCGTCGCACATGCATGGCTCATAATTCTCGCTATTTTACATTGGCCTCGAATACCCATTCGGCCCTGGTGTTGGCCGGGGCATGTTTGCAAAGTCCAAGTTTCCGGAGTGCCAAGTCCAAAGGGGAGCTAGTTCTCCCATTTGCGCAGTTGTCAAATTTTCGATGTTAAATTCTTGGCCCGCATCCACGATTTGTTGTTGATAAAGACCGTCTTCTAGTGCCGTAGCAGCATCTATTGTGTCAAATGAGGGCCTTGTATTTTCATCCATCGGCGGAGGTAGAGTCTCAGTGTTGGCTTCCCACCTCTCTGACGCTCGTGATCCGCCCGTGAAATGGTTCGGATCTGAAATCAAAGTTCCCGAGTCAGCGACTGCCATGCAGCTGGCGTCCCGTAGCATGGCCTGGTTTTCATAGTCGGAATTGCTGTCGTGATTGTAGTCGTCACTTTGCGTTGCCATTGTATGTGGTGCAAATTGAGAAGACAATGGCGCTTCCATGGAGTTTGGCATGGGAACAGTTGGGACGGCACATATGGTTTCCGCAATGGGCTTCTCAGCCCGATTTGTCACAGCTGTCGATGCTAAAGGGGGAGGCCCAGCGGATGTAGACGCGGGGGGGATTAAAGGCCCTCCGTGCCGCGCAGAGCCAGGTGGTGGTGGCGGTCTCGTGTTCAACTTGGTGCGCTTTACCTGATGTTCGAGGTCTCTGCGGGGGACAGCTTCAGGCAATCTTCTTACTAGTCTTTCAAGTATATCGTAGGAGGTTTTGGAAGTTTTCGAGATTGTGTTCAGTTTCTTGAGCATGTCGACGGCGTCGCCGATAGATGCCAAGACATCAGCTCGATTGGATATGGTATGTTCCATGTCTTTAAGTACTGCGGTACAGAGGATGGCAGCGGTGTCGAAAATTGAGAAAATGATGAAATGTAAGCGGCCGTCTCTATTGTAGATCTTGTCAACCCATCGGCGCAGAGTCTTCATCAATTTGAGACTATACCAGACACCGACGGACCGAATGTTGAGCTCGTTGGGGTCAGAGTTCCATGTGTACTGTTTTACCATATAATGCCTAATTGGGTTTAGAATTAAGAGGCATGCCATGGTGTAGACATAAAATCGGTGTGCAAATAACCAGGAACATTTTTCGTCCTTGCTTGTGTCTGGATTCTCAAACGCGTATTCAGGTGGGAACTCGTCGACCCATTTCTCAATGATAGCTTTGTACTCTAGAACTTCTTGTGGCAAAATGACGTTCTTGGGCGCGCTAAACCGTGATGCTAATTGGCGGGTCAGACGAGACTGCATCTTCATATGTTGCAGGGGAGACACGGTATGGCCCTCCAGCGTCAACTCGGGAAGTTCTGCATCGCAGTCGGCTCGATGTATTATCTTGGGTCTGGACAGACCAGAAGATATTTGCCTGGCGTTCACCGGTGAGTATACGGTTGGACGGGCCAAACACGGACAAGGGGTCGCGAAGCCGCAGGGAAGCGAGCTCACCAGTCCCAAGTATCCAAGATACACCATAATCTTCTACGCATCTCTAGGTCAAATTCACTGACGGTTCCAGGTGCGGGATCTTTGTGATAGCCCAATTCGTTGGCCTCCAAAATGGCAGCACTCAAAACGTGCCATGCCTCAAGAAACTTGGCTTCCGCCTTGTACCAGTAACAAGAATGTAAGAGCCGCTGGACATTGAGGAAGTGATAGTGTCCAACAGGAATGACACTGGCGAGTTCTCTCATGGCTGCATGGAGACGATCAGACACAACGTCCATGGTGTCTCCCAGCTCTCTTTCGAGGGCCTTTTCAGTGGCGTTTTCAACATGCTGTAGAGCACATGCGCAAACGATAGCCAGTAGACATGTAAATTGGAGTGACAGTGGTCGACTTTGGGACTGTCTGTCCCACCAGATGTGATAGTCCTGCAGGAAGATGGGCGGGTATATGATGTAGTAGTGATAATTGATTTCGCCGAGGAAATGTTGCATCAGAATGTCTGTACAGAAGAAAGACACAAGATTAGATACCCAGTTTGTTCATCGACAGGTTGCTTCGGAAAAAGTAACCATCCGAAAGGCCGCTGAAAATGGAAGGACTTGCCCATGGATTGTCGCCGAGGAAGGAGCTGCAACACCCGGCGCATTTGGGGAAACGAGTCTGCATCGACAAAATCTTGCTTCGGAGCTGGCTTCTCGGACTGTAGAACACCGTGATTCACTTCGTTAGATGGATGATATCAGGAAATTGCTCAGCAAAGCTGAGTGAGAGGCGGGATCGAGAGCAACCGTGTATGATGAACGTACCACTCCATGATCGATACCCAACGTGGCGTACAGACGAGTCGTCAATGCATCGAAGCCAGAGCCATCTTCCTCGTCGACTTGAGTAGTGCCTCGGTCAGCGTAATCATCGTGCGTTCGCTTGAGTTTTTCGGTCAAGTCGTGGGCTGGTGTGTCCGCCGTGGGGTTGAAGCAATTATAACGGCACTCATCGGCTATCTTGCGCCGTTGACACCGATCGCATGGCCATTCGCGGTTGCACTACCCGTGGCATCAGTTGAATCTGTAGTCTGTGGTTCGACGGCACATGTTGGGGGTACAATTCAGGTGAGGGCAGCGCGTTCCTTTCTCAGTGATGATGACTTTTACCAAGACCGCGCAGCATGTCTACTGTCTACGGCTGGCTGTCAATGGAGTCGAGTAGAACAGAAACGACAAGGACAGATGAATCATTGATTGGTTCAGGATTCAGATGAGCTGACATTGAATGGAGGTTCGATATGCACTCACCTTTTGCTTCCGTCGCTGACACTCGGTGCAAGCGGACCGGTTGTATCCGTTCTCGCGATTGGGATCCTCTACAGGGACACCAGCAGATACGGCGCCAGCCATGATTCAGGCCTCGAATTTCCTCTTGGTGATATTCAGGATGATGGTTGCGATGCAAGAGAGCAAGGCGTTTTGAAAAGTGGTTCGGGTCGAATTGAAGTCGACTTTCGAGACCAGGGGTAGTATGGGATTTTCTGCTCTCTCAGGGAAGCGGACGGACGGGCCGTTATAGCTTCCCAACTCGTTGAGTTTGTCTGGGTCAGCCAGTTGTTGTTGGTTTGTACGGACTCGTACCGGGCATGGCCGGTGAATAATAACACAGTACGCGCATCATGGATCTGGACAGGAAGTGACCTGTCTCGGTCTCGCTGTGGCTTTCCAGCTAGCTCTGGGCTCTGGCTGGACCTTGGGAGCCGCGAGGCATCCGCCTTGGGAGGATTCCAACTGTCAATCAGCAACCGGGACTTCAGCCTGGCAGTGGCGCCCAATCATCGTGTTGTGCAGCCCTCCTCGAGGCCGGTAAGAGGCAGAGCTAAAACCCGAGTAGATCTTGCCGAATCATTTACGATGGACTCAAGTCATTACGGAGCACTAGTCATGGAGTTGAACCCGACAGTTTCGTGATTGGGACTTGTGCGTATCGTCCCGGAAACATACGCATGCATGGCACGGAGTACTCCGTAAAGCGCGTCCTGTCTCTTCTGCGGAGTTGCTTTTTATAAAATAAAAAAAATAATTAATTAAAAAAAAAACTGCGGGTCAAGTCGGGCTGCGCAGCCTCATATTGCATCGCCCGTTTTCGGCGCAGAGCACGGAACACGGAGCATCCGGACCTCGAGTCGCTGGTCTCAGGAGATGGAGAATATTTGAGGTTTTGCTTCTTCCAGGAAGGGCACGGTGCAGCGTGCAAATCACAACTGTTCCCATGCAGGCCAGGCTGCTCTCGATGGTGATATTCCATCGTCCCTGGACGGCCTGGCGGATTCGACCAAGCTGAGCCGTCTCCTAGTTACTACTCCAAAGACTTGGCCGTCGGGGCCAAAATCAGCCTCTCCAACCCTGGCCCTGGTCGCTCAATCGGTGCCGCACCCGCGCCGCGATCATGGGAGCTTCTGGCCCCCACCGCCCATCCCGGCGACGAGAGCCCATCTAGAACTGCAGACTCCATCTCGTGGCGCCGAGAAACAAGTCTTTACCCGAAGCAGCCGTCGGTGGCGGTTGAAAGAAGCGTCAAGAGGCGGAGAGGGGCTTTGCTGTCAACTCCAATGATCTCCTTTATGGGCCGTTTCCCACGCGGAAGCATCCCTGCCGATTCCGTCCCTATTGCCTGTTGCGTGATCATCGGACCAATCCAGATCAATCTCCGATCCTGCAGATCCCTGGCCACACATGCCAGGTGAGCCGTCGGCTTCAACGCGCGTTGGGGTCCCTTGCGAGCACTTGTTTCCTTGTCCATCCACGACCTCGACAGGACATGGAGACGGTCGAGCTGTTGTAGGACTTGCTCGTCCGTTTGGATTTGCATCAGCATCATAAAGACCTCCCAAGGCAAAGCTCACGTCCCATCGTCCCGGTACTTGGCAACACCGCAGACAGACCTTTGTGCCCCCTGCGTTGCGGTGAATGTGCATCCGACGCCGTACGACACCGTACAGTAGAGTACACGTCGGTGCGTGACAAGACGAGAAACTCGCAGGAAACCCCGCTCCTGAGGCTCGGTCCATCCGACTACACCAGGGACATGAGCCGCAGTACGAACCGGACAAGATGGGAATCCCATTCTTCCGTGTGCTACCACGTCAAGGCCCTTCCCAGCATTCCCTGCAAGACGCAGATGGACGGAGATGCCTTGGTCAATCCTTTTGCCGACCGAACATCGCCTTCAGGCTCAGTCCCTCCGTCCGGCCCTGTGGAAGTAGCTTCTGGGAACGCCCAGCGAGCAACCACATCCCTTCGAATGTCGGGCGACGTTCGTGTCTTGTACCGCATGCAGCCCGTCACCCAGCGCCTCCCTTCCGAATCGGCTCGTTTGCCATCTTCCGCACGTTAGTCCCACGGCATACCAGGTAGCTGCGGCTGAGCCCGCAGCGATGGAACCTCATCGGTTTACGGAGTTGCTCTGTGCCGAGCACGGAGTAGATATGCCTGAATCTAGTTACACGTCTCGTGCGTGGCATGTACATGTATACGCACGCATATGAGCCAAGCGTTGAGACATTTCCGCCTCTTGGGGACTTGTTTGTCTGGACGGTGAACCGTGGCACAACCGTCGAGCAACGTCCTCGAGTAGTTCTGACGAGGGTCACAACGTCATGATGCATGCCACCCAGATTGAGTATTCTGAACCGAGTCCAGTAAGCTTGCCTGTCAGTACAACAGCACAGAACGTAATGGGGGGGACATTGAGATGGATGGGCTCCCGAGTACAGGCCCCAGGCTGCCTGCCCAAGCAAGGGGTGTGTGGACGTGCAGGTCTGTCGCGGAGTATAGTTACGTTGAGGGTGAACTCATGGCGTCGCAAGTTTCTGCTGCTCGAAATCCTGGTACCTTGCCTGCTTTTGCCTCTGACTCTATCGCTCCAGTACAGGCAGTAAGGCTTACCTACCCATAGTCGCCATCCCCACCGTTGCGCACTCTGGTTTACATTGCATCTACTGCGTACTTTCAAGCGGCTTTTCGCTTCATCATGGCTCAAAATTCCGTCTCGTTGTTTGTATGTAGAGCCGAGCGCCGCCTCATGAGTAAATCAACGTGCCTTGGGGAATTGTTGGGGGTTGGGGGGAGAAAACTAAAACAAGACACAAAACACTCCTCCAGACTCTCTCGACGCCTCCCAGATGCGAATATACAAAGCCAAAAACATGACGGTAAACAGACGAGACTATCAGGCCTCCACGCCAGCCATGCTGCCTTTTCTCCTCAGGTCCCCCGCCTTCAACTTTCTCACCATCTGATACGACCTATCGAGCTCATTCTCGACGGCACATCGAATCCTCAGCGCCGCCACCGCAGGCCACACACTCCTCTCGCCCCTCAAGATCCAGTAGTTCAGTGTATCCCTCGTGGGAGTCTCCAGGAGTCTGACAAAGTCTCCAGCTGTTACTTCCGGGACCAGCGTCATGGAGGCCGCTGGTATCCGTTCGTCCACCAGAAACCGCCGAATGCTCGACGGTAGGAGTCGCAGCGTATCGAGTTGTCGTAGACGGTGACGGACTTCGAGTCCAACCATGCGCACAAGGAACGCAGAGAGCTGTGTAGTTCTGCTGCGGGATTCGAGGAGTGACGGGCCGTGCATGTCGGATTGCAAGAAGGGGATGAGGTATGGCCGGGCTTGGCTGACAATGAAGTGGTTCACATTGAAGAGTTCGGCGATGCGTTGGAGAGGCGAGTCGCGATCCGTGTATGAGGCATGTGTCCAGTGGTGGAAGTGGGTGGTGTTGGCAGCGGCCCAGGGGACGACAGTGCCGTGTACATCTTTGGCGAGGATTTGGACCTTGCGGGAGCCGTACAGCGAGGGAGACGAGGCATTTGATGCTACGGCGGCCGTCCAAATCAACTGATTTTGCACGGTTAGTAGAGTGTTCAGGTATAGCATGTCGACCCGGAGGCGGAGAGGTACTCACAACGTTGGGAGCCGTGATATAATTCATCAACGTCGGCACGCCACCCTGGCTCTCCGTGGCGACAGTAATATTGAGTACCCTCTTACTCCGATTGTAAGCCTCTTCGAAGGTTAAATCCCCCACGTTTGCCCGGACACAGTCCTCCAAGACTGTAACATCTAAGAAGTACCCTTCACGCGAAAACCTCCGCAGTCGTCGCATCAAAGTCGCCCATCTCGATTTGAACGTCTGTTCGCGGGGAGTCGCTCCATTCTCTGGTCTGCCTCTCGAAGCAAACGCCGAGACATCGATCCCGTCACCTGTCAAAATATTGGGCAATTCTTCTTCTGTATGTATGGCAACTAAGGCGGCTATCAGGGCACCGGTGCCTGTTCCCGTAATGATGCGGGGAAGAAGACCGCGCAGGAAGAGGGCTTTGGCAACGCCAAGATGGCATAATCCAAAGATGGAACCGCCCTGCAGGACCAGAGTGCTTCGACCAAATGCTTGGCGCGTATCGTGAATAAAGTCGAGCTTCATCTGGTTCGTCAATATTCTCCCCTCGCCTTGTGAGTTGGAGATGAATGTCGTGGGCAGTGTGCTGATATCCTCGACGCTCTCTGCGACTTGTGATATATACTCCTCTATGAGATACTTGGTCCCCGAGAACGACCGGTTGTAGAGCGTAGGGACGGTAATGTTCCCTAGGTTACGGATGAGGCCAGATCGAAGAAGGTTCACAGACTGCTGAAAGTGGCTCTCTTGTCGAGCGTCGGCCAAAGAATGCAAGCGTTCTGTGATGAGTCGCCAGTCGTAATGTTTGGACGTCGGGTTGTTTCTCCTGCACCAAGCGGAGCAAACGATCAGTAGGGCCATTCCCTCGAGATATCGGCATGATCGTGGGTGAGGCGCGTCCTTACCACAAGTCTAAGCCCAGCAAGCTGTCCAAGTGGAGAGATGCTTCTTCCCAGTCCTCGAAGCTCTCTGCATTGCGCAGAAGTTCCAGCCACAAATCCACAGGGTGCTTGCTAGTATACCAGCCCACGAGCTTCTGCACCGGCGTCAGTAGAAGAGCCATGAGGAGGAGAATGGTGTGAAAGGAGCAAAAACGAAGGTCGAAACCCACCTTGATCCAGAACGTGGTGACATCCATAATCACCCTCCAGACAGCTAAGACGGCCGCCATGATGTGCCGAGGGTGACGAGATCGCAATCACAGGCCATGCAGCTGATGGTGACACAGGAGCGACAGAGAGAGGTGGGGTCACTCGAGAAACTTGGCTTCGACTTGACGGTTTGCTTCTCTCACACGGAGGCCGGCGTAGGCTGAGACAGCATCGTACTCCGCAGGCGAGTGCGAGAGGGACCGTAAAGCCGCAGTTGCTCTTGGATCAATGACTTGGCCAATCGATGCCAGACGGCGCATGCTGAGCCCACGAGCCCACGAGCCCACGAGTGCTGCGTACAGGAGGACTGGACCGTAGGCATGTGATGATGCCAGGGATGAGATGACTTCTCTCCGGGAATCGCGGACGGAGGCGCTAAAATCGACTCGCCCGCCCAAAATCGCCTAGCTCTTGCCCATCTGACCATCTCGGCTCGGACCCCGACGTACGGTCACGTACCTTCCACAGGTACGTAGCACTTCGTAGTTGTCGCCGCTTACCTAAGGGTACCTAGGCTCATATGCAGACACTAGCTGTACCCATCATGTCATAAGTTTGTTTCCTATTTCTGCAGCCATGTTGGTATCGCGGCTTATCTATCATGTTCCGGGTCGGTCTGAGGCCTCTCGTCTTATGTCTTGCGAGGAAATGACTCCATCAGCAGCACGACTCTGTCGGCTTGCACAGCTTCTCTGGCGCTGCCTTGCACATCTATAACGTGCCGCCTTGGTTCCGAATATTCTCTTCCGAGCTCGTCAACGCCCTTTCAGTGATTGTACATGATATGTGAAAAGCAGACTCCACGATATATGACTATTTCCTCGTCCGATCCGCCAACAACAGCACACTCGCTCAAGCCCCTTGCTTTCTGTTACTCTTCCTCATCCTCGTCTACAATATTTCGCCGCCTAGTTCTTCCGGACGGCTCGCCTGGTTCGACCTCGTCTCCCTCGGCATCCTCGTCTTCGTCTGGATCCCTTGTCCTCTGTCTCTTGCTGCGAGGTGGTCGTTCCTCCTCGTCATCATCCAGCAAGTCTTCCTCTTCATCCTCTGCTGCGCTGTCCATTTCTTCCTCATCACTGCCCACCAGGAAGCCGTCATCCAAATCATAGTCTTCGCGCCGTCCGACACCCTGTGGGAGATCGTCGTCAGAGTCATACTCTGGCCGGCGTCTCTTGGGTTTCGTAGATTCCGGCATGCCTCTCTTGCGTCCAGACCCGAAGCCACGGCCGCCTTCGAGGTCCCTAATCGATAGCCCCCCACGACCGGACCGCCCGAGTCCACCGTCCATCTTTAGCGCGGCATTTTCGCGTCGGCGTTGAGCCTTCATCCTCTCTTTTTCTGCCATTTCAGCCTGTTTCTTCTGCAACTCGGGGTCTCGGGTGGTGCGGATAATCATATCACCGTCGTTTGCTGCCTTGCTAGCCTGGGCCATTCGCTCGGCCAGCACGGACAGCGCGTCATCCCCAACTGCCTTATTGGGTCGCACGTTGAACTGCTCCGTCAAGTGACCAACAGTCAGTAGAATATTACTGCCGAGTTCGGCCGCCGCCGCGTAGTGATGTCCATCGCGAAGCTCGTTGTACGGCTGGTCCGTTCCAGGCGCGAGTGCCTTCTTTTGTATTTCGTAATGCTCGCCGCCGACAGAAATGGTCAACGAACCGTCACTCCACCGATAAATATTCGTGTTGCTCTGTAGATATCCCGTGCTTGCATCTTTTCGGATGCGGGCTACGTGTTTCGGCCTGTCGGATTTCGCATTGTCGAGGTCAAAATCACTTGGTTGGAAAGTTTCCGCGACGTATTCCTCGGGCATGAATTTGATGAACTTGGGAACTCTCATAACACGAAGCTGAGATGCGCCATTAGTCTATGTAGCACATCATATTGGGTCCTGGAAAATTCAAGCCATCTTACAATGCCGTCTTTGGGTTTGGGGATCTGATGGCGATAGGTCTGCACCGCCATGACAACCCGATCTCGCGTCTCACGCGGGAGACCATCCTCGTCGTCGTAGCCTCGTCGCCGCGCATCAGCATCGTAATCGGGGTCTGAAGCAAGTTCGTCATCGTCCAGAACTCGGGTTGTTCTCGGCTCTTCGTCGCCCTCGTCGCCGAAGAGGTCGTCACCGGCGGTTTCATCGACAACGCCGAGAGAGTCCTCGGAGTCAGACATTGTGCCACTCTTGTGGTGTTTCGGGCTACAAGTCGAAGAATGCGGCTTGCAGTCGATGGCAGGCAAGCAAGAGAGTTGAAAGTTGCTGGGCTTGCTCGAGAGGCGAGACTCGGAAGCTGCGCAGAACTCAGATGGATGCGGTAAGAATGCGCACGGGCCACACGGCCAACCAAACCAGGCCAGTCAGTTAGTTCATCAACAGGCTGCTTCTTTTAGACAACTCACTACGAGTCCCAAAAAAAAAAAAAAAAAAAAAAAAAAAAAAGTAGTAATAGAAAGATAGATAAATCAAGCTTGACTGCATCTCTTGTCGGAGGATTCAATCCTTACGAGCTTCTTCGTGTAAAATAATCTGCTCAAAACAGCATGGCGGCGCCTCAGGCTAGCGACAACCTGACCGGAGTGCTCTGTACAGCCTTGGCTATGTCAGAGCAACATCCACCCTGAAACTCATCACGTCGCCGGTCCTTGGTGCGCCCCAGAATACTGTTCCTTCTCGTCTTGTCGAGCTACGTGCATACTTGCATTTGAGCAAAAAATGCTTTCGCTGCCCTGCAGAGCGCGCGTGGCCTCGTGTGCAGGCCGCGGCAGGGATCTGGATCCATCTGCGCCTCTGATTGAACCTGCGCGGATTGTCCAACCAGAAACGGCCACCGCGTGGCTCCCCCCACATTTGCTCGTCACCGTCTCGAAATGCGACTCGGGCGGCTCCCCCCCCTTCTCTCACGCCAGACACCACCAGACACCAGACCCCGGACACCAAAAACATGGACTCCTGATAGAATCTCTTTACATAATAATATCTGCCCCATCCTCACCGGGCTTGTCCACGCCGCTGTTCTTGGCTGGCATTTGCTCTTTGCCTCACGCCTCAATCTCAGGCTAACGCCTACAGTTGCCTTTGTCGTTCCTTCTCATCCAACCGCCTTTGTTCGCCGCCTCGCATAAGATCCCGTGACGGGAGCTTTCAGCCCGCCCCTCTGGCGTTGCCTTTGCATTGCCGCCCTCCATCTCAGTCACCCCGCCTTCCCATCCATCATGTCCAATCTCTTCTCCGGCATGTAAGTAGCTGTGTTGTTCCCTCTGATGGCTGTCTTGTTCTTGTTCTCCTTGTTGTCTTTCGCTTCACTCCATATGCTGCTACAGGCGACAAACGAGCCCCTTCCATCAGGGGCCTCGCAATCCAGGGGCAACTTGGACGATCCAGGGCCAAACCCCATTCCTTCAGCAGGTCCATGTCCATTTATCCGGTGTCGGCAATCCGGGCCAGACATGGAAGTTTGCATACTCTACCGCGCCTCAGGGCCAGCCGCCTCCGATCGGCCGATTCCATTCCACATATCTGCCGCCCAATCACGTTAGTCTTTGGATGGGTTAAGAGGTTCAACATGATACTGATGGGCAACGCATACGCATGGCCTGGCAGCATCAGGTTGGCGAGGTTCACCAGGGGTATCACGCTCAGCTTGGGACATTGTCGCATCACGCCATGTCATGTCGAGACCGACTTGCCTGCCCGTCGCACATCAGTTCTGGCATGGGCACTCGCCGTCGAGGCATCGAGGTGTATCCCAATATCGATGACAGAGCTGTCTTTGAGACCTGAAGAACTATCAGTGCTGCATTCTCCAAGAGGATATTGTCTTCAGGGGAGCTTTCCTCTTGCTCTGACATGCTATTGTGACAGTCGTTGGCTTCTCTCAAGTTCGAACTGCTACTGACAAGTGAACGCTTAGCAACGCTCGGTTCCGAGGTGCTTCAACGAAGCCGTCGGGCCAAAAGAGCCCATCTCCGTCGACAGGCGGCCAGCCTTTGCCAGCTGAGTTTGCTTCTCAGGGAAGCCAGTTATCCACACATCTTGCTCCCAAGGTTCCGCCTTTGCCGAATTCGCCGTCACTAGCCCAAACGATCGGGATGGACGGATCTGGTGGGGGAATGTCCAACGTCGAAGATATCATCAGTAACTACCACCTTCCCCGGCCGCTACCTCTGTGGCTCAACGCTCAGTATGTCAAACATATTGTCAAAGGCAACTTTATGACCTTGAGTGCACGACCAAAGACTGTGGAACCAGGAGAGTGGATTGCCCACCAAGGTATATAACCCGTTTTGTGCGATGATGTTGCGATTTCACGACTAGCTGACTCTTCGAGGTAGTTGTCGAGCATTATCGAAACCTATGGAATTTTGTGCGCGTGGTTCATGAGAAAGAGGATGGTGGCACAAGCATTTGCAACCCTACAACCTGCCCTCGCATGTCTGCTGGAGCGTGAGTGTCGACAAAATCATTTACTTCAGAGAGGCGGAGAGACTCACCTGCTGAATAGAAATCATTCCTTCACATGGCTCAACAACAGACGAGAGCCAGTAGAACTTCCTGCTTACGAGTACATGACGTTGATGCAGCGATGGATTTCGGGGAAAATCGACGACACCGCCATCTTTCCAACAGACCCTTCCGGTGTATCGTACGCCCACAACCCCAGCATTACAACAACTCCGTTGTCGCAACTTTCCAACCCCGGAGAGCCTGAATACATTGGCAAACGTTCGGGCTTCCCGGAGAAATTTGTCGAGGTCTGCCAAATGATCTTCCGTCAAATGTTTCGTGTCTACGCACACCTTTACTGGGCACATTTCACTGAGCCTTTCTACCATCTCAACCTTGAGAAACAACTCAACAGCTGTTTTTCTCACTTTATTTTAACGGCTACAGTGCTGGATATGCTTAAGCCGCAGGAATTGGAACCAATGCAAGCTCTGATTGACCTCTGGGCGGCAAATGGGACTTTCCCCCCCGAGTCCAAGGCTTACGAGTATGCTAATTTGCGTGTTGGCGAACGACTTCTTCATCTTTCAGGTACTCAGTAGAGTTGTATGGTCGTCTTTTCTTGGGCGTATCGCATCTGTTTTGTGTTGATCACACGGCTTAGTGTGCTGTCTGCGTGAACAGCATTGCCTCACGGGCGAATGGACCCAACATGGAAAACAATACATGACGTTTTTCTCCGCGAAATTGGGGTTGTGTCTGCTGCAGGTCGGAGGAGTTGCGAAGTGGGATTCGATCCTCAGGATGGTTGAGCGCAGCGCAGGTGAGCATGAGGGGGATAGAAACAACCAAGAAACGGCCGGGCACAGCAGACGGGAATGTATTCTGGGATCATCGAAAGGTGGACAAAAGAGACTACCTTTACTGGCGACACAATATCGCTTTTTTCGCGTGCGTCTTGTCCAAGGATCATAGCAACGTCCATACCCTACACATGTCGAGATGTCGATCAAAAGAACGCGCATCCTGGAACCACCTCGTCGTCTGTCTATCTACGCTGTGTAATCACATCCTCCAAACACATCTGTCGTTGGATGCATCATGCCCAACGGCCCAATGCAGACCCCATCAGATGACTGTCCCATTTCAAACGACCGTCCGTGACAGCCGGCTACCCAAAAGACGCACGATCCAGACGCAGGGGCTATGCACTCACGTATCCTATCTATGCACCATGGCCCGACCAAACCAGAGAGCCTGCTCCGTACGGCTTTCCCACAGCCCATGTGATGCATTCACGTCTTCCCCTCTACATGCCGTGCCACAATGGTTTGCGTCGCGGCACTGCATAACCTATAGCACCCAGGCCGACTGCACCACCGCGGACGGCCTGACGGTTAGGGACTCGTTTCTGATGTGTCTCTTTTGCTGGCAGGAGCCACCGACTACCAAGGCCACCTCGAACATGACTTGCGTCTCGTCGCCACCGCCCACGAGGACAAGGTCGTCTTCTCCCGCCGAGCGGCAAGTAAAAATAGAAGCAGCGCACTCCGTACTCCGTACCCGCCCGAAGAACCGAGAAGCTGGTCCGACACCACACGAGCCCTGGGGTCAAGGGGGACTGAATTCCGTGGCTGGGGAGCGGAAGTTCCCTCCCCTCCCCTCGCTCTCTTCCTTTCCCCTTAAGTCCCCCCCGCTTGCGAAGATTTCCTTTGTCCAAGCCGGGTTCTGTGCTTGGAGGGGGGGGGGAAGGCGACGGCCGATTTGGGCCAAGAACGAGGCTTGTGTCGTTCCGGAAGAGTCAAGACTCAAGACGGAGTAATGGAACCAGGATTCGGGAGGCTGTTGTTGGAGGCGGACGGATCTTGGTGCCTTTTTTTTTTTGGTGGTCACTGGTGAGATCTTTGGTCTCTCTCTTGACGCTGGGATTGTGGGCGCGTCTTGAATCTTGATGCGGTTGGCTCTGGATGTTTGATGTTGCTGTTGTGCCGGGCAGACTGGTATTTCAAGAAGACGAGGGGTTTTCGTTTCTACGATGTACGCGGGCGGAGTTGTGGTTTGGGTTGCGACCTGTCTTTGTTGGAAACCGCCTTTTCTACATACGTACGCTGGTTGACTCGGCAATCTTGTGCTGGGGCTGGCTGGTTGGTTGGTGAGGGTGCCGTGTGCTCTTTCAAAAGCAGCGCTGCCCAGGAGTTGATCGACACGTCCGGGCGCGAGTGAAGAAAGCAGCAACTACGGGGTACGTGCTATGAATAGAAGGAGGAATCAGGGATCAAGGCCAATCTGCGGAGTAAGCAAACCGTATGTACGTATGTATTTGCGTGGTTGCACCCGTACCGCAGCAGCCGCAGAGTTCTCCTCGTCTCTCTTACCACATGGGCAGGCAACACGCCGTCGTCAGTGGTGACAGAGGCCAACTTGGATACCGAGTATGTACGGAGTATGAGCAAGTGAGTTCGGCCAGGTTGCAGACCATGGAAAGCATGTCCGAGACATGCTGGCGATTATCTTGTCAAGTGGTGGGCGGGACAACAAGCACAGAAGCTAGGACAGGCACCACGGGGTTTCCCTGGGAGGGGCGTGCTCCAGCTCCATATGCAGAACATTGGCCGGGCACATGGGATGAGGAAAAGCCATGGTGACATGAGCATTAATGGCGTTTTATATAAAGCAAACGGCGCTTTGTCGGCCATGTCCTGTGCCTCCATTCCGGGACGGGACCCGAACGGCAAGCAGTGGTCCGTTGTACACTGCCTGGACGTGACCACCAGGGACGATTGGCGGCGAGTCATCGCATCGCTCGTTGCAAAGGGGGGGGGGGGGAGTGAGAGCACCATCGACAACAAAGAACGAGATGGGCAAAAACTGGAAACTCACCGCCCAGACAAGACGGTTTGGGATATGGGGCACCATGGCCGGTCAACATGCGACTATGAGGCACAGTGGAGCTGCTGATAGCGGAAGTTGTGTGGTTGGATCACGGCCTGGCGCGAGTGAGATGAGAGACTGGGAGGGAGAGTCGACTCGACCAAAGAAACCCAGCCCCCATCCAGAAAAGGATTACTTACGGAGTACTGACTTAGTAATACCCCGTGCACGGAGAGCGAGCGAGCCATCGCACTCAGCAATAAGCTCGACGCGCCGCTGGACTCGGCAGCGAGAAACGGGCAGACATGCCTTGGGTGCGTCCAGTGTTCCGTTGAGGCAAAGAGGATTACCCAAGGGGGCAGGCAGAGTCGCGATTGTGCGCAGAGAAGCTCGGTTGGTTGTCTCGACGGTCCCTAGGTGAGGACAGAGGGCATGCGAACAGACTAATTGGACCATCACGTCGCATTTTCCTTGAGGAGAGATGCAGTCGGTCAGGTGGTGGTGGTGGTGGTGGTGGTGGTGGTGATGGTGATGGTGATGGCTGTGGGTGTTGAGACATTTTGACGTCTTGTACTGCCGCCGTGCACGTCTGCAGGAAGGGTACTTCCACCATGTGTAGCTTCGTGGTCCGGGAGCGCCATGCCAAAACAGGCAAGGTCGACTTTCTCGCGCCGTTCCTTTCGTCCACACTGCGCCAGCCGATGAGCAGGTGGCAGCCTTCAGTGGTTGCCAGCCTCTCGCCTGATGAGCGCCATGTACCCCTGATTGAGACTGCTCTAGCGAAATACGGAGTTCTCTGCACTCTGTGCCGAGGACCCTGTCGAGATTGGCCATTGCTGTTCCGGTGACACGCTCTGGAGTCTGGCCCGCGCCAAAATCCTGGAGGGCCATCTTCACAAGGACGCAACGACCCTCTTTGCCTCCTTGGATGATCAAGCGTGACCCTACTAGCTCTGCTGCCGACGGAGCAAATAGGAAGGCAGAGCGTTGAGGAGGACCAAAGCATCATCGCCCGTCACTTGAGTGTCAGACCGTGGAGACGCCTACATACAGTGGGAGGCAAAGGGCACCTAAGTACTCAAGTACTAGGCTATTGCGTGCGATGCTCCAGAGTATAACTTACCAAGTAGTACTCCGTACTGATAGCTCATATACTCCTGTGGACGACTACATCAGCGTGTTCATACGCCACAAACTGCACCGTATTCCTCACTACCAGGTACTTCAGTAGGTTCCTGGTGCTGGCTGTTGTGGCTCAGCCCGGCAAGCCTCAGAGTGGAGGATCCAAGAAACTTGGAAAGGTAAGTAGTGGCCGTTTCTGCCCAACCTCCCTTCATGCCGTACGTGTAACGTGCACTGTAGGACCGCATACGAAGTACTCCATACCCCGGACTTTGCTGCTAGCTCTTTGTACTGATAGCGAGACTCGCGCGCTCTCTCTCTCCTGTCCCTCGACTTGGACCATGCTTGTTCTTGGCTTCGTCATATTGCTTCTCCCTGGGCCCCGGCACATGTACTGGTTTTGCGGGCTTGATCCAATGAGGGCAGTTAACAGGTTCAAAGCGCACATACCACTCCTTCATCGGATCACTGGTTGCATTATTTGACTGCTCCGAAGTCCGGACTGCCCATGACTCGACTTTGCCAAGGATTCTCAAGTACACAAAGCACAAGGACAGTTGCCGGAGGGTCTTGGCTAATGCGGAGTATGCCATGACAGTTGCTCACCAAAAAAGGCACATGGAACGCGCCTTCATATATCTGTAACAGCGTTGCTTCAAATCCTGCAGGATAACGGAAAGAATGGCGAGAATTGGAATCAGATGGTGGTTTGCTCATCTTCAAATAGGAAGCAAAAGTAGACCCGGGGTTCCAAGGAATATCAAGCTGGATGCGAACCAGTGCACTCACTGTATGTGCAATTTTCCTGTGCGCTGCGTTGTGACCCGACGTACAACACTGACGGATCCAGGGGAGAGAGAATCTGCATCAAGCACTCAACCCAGGTCCGGATGCACCATCGAGATGTATGCTTGCATAGTCTTGAATCTAAGATGAGGAGTTGAATTTGAACGTAATGGGCAATGTTGTTGCGGTCATTGCGCTCCATCCAGACTGGTCGTCGTGCCTTGCTCTTGGGCCCCTTTCCCTCTCTCTTTGTCTCTCTATTTTTGGCCCAATGTTTGGTCGCGAGGCAAAATATACGAGGCAAGTTAGCAAGAGTTGCACGCATCTTGGCCTGGATTGGGCGTGCAAAGTCATGCGCTTAGCACATGCACTTATATCTTGCGAAAATTCTGTCTGTCATGATCCCTGTAGAACGGCAAGCCCATGTAGCTCTCATCTCGACTGTGTCTACAGAAGCTGGGCATCAGTGGTCCAAACAGCATCCGAGCGAGGAAGACAGGAACGCTAGTATGGGTGCCCAAACTGTGAGCACGCGGATCGATCTGGATTCGTCTCCCTGCGAGGCTCGTCAGCGGACCTAGCATCTGACTAGTATGTCTGTGGTCCCTGGCAATGGCGAATGGGCGGTGGACCACAACGGGCCGTGATGAGACGAGATCCGTTTGGATAAATCGTGGTCGTGCCAGCTACAACTTCGACCAGCACTAAGGCACCTAAATCGTTGCTTGTTTATGCCGTGATCATGCACATGTGGTGTAGTCCGTGGGAACCGACGTATGAAAGATGTGCAGGCCACTCACGGTCCTTGGCCGACTGCAATAGGGCCAAGAGTCTTGAGTCTTGTCTCGAGTCTCGACTGTGCGTGGTAGTGGTGAGTCGTGACGTCGGGTCCGCAAACTGATTGGGTCTTTCAGGGCGGATTGTGGAATAAAGGTTGCGGCCAGCGGAACGTGGACATGGACATGAACCAAAGTACGGACGGAGTAGGGAGTCGAGGTGAGGCTGGGCTGGGGAGTTGGGAGCGTACTGATGATGTCTTGCAACAAGATTCTTGGGACTTGGGAGGCTTCTTCCCTCACCACACTCACTCAGTCCTCTCACTTTTGGCCTGGCGTGTGCGTCTTGCCTCTGCCTGCGCTTGACCAGGTGAAGAAGCCGCGGCCCCCAGGCCCACTTGCCCTCTCTCACGGGGCCCGAGGCCTGAGCTTGATGGATGGATGGCCCGTAGGCGAGGCCTGCTCAGGTCTCGTCAGGTTGGCCGGTACATCAAGTACTTGAGTACTTATTGATGGTACCAAGGGCCAAGGCCGCTCCGCACATCCGGGCTGCCAGAGGCCCAGAGGCTAGAGGCTAGAGGCTAGAGCTCAGCTCACACACCAACTCGACGCCTCAAGCTCGAGCTCAACGGCTACAACGCACCAGACACACCAGACACACCAGCCCACCCCGCCGCCGTCCGAAGCCCGCACAAAGTACATAACCTATCTGCCTCCTCCCTCCCAATTTCTGGCATTCTTCATAGCCCAATACTCGTCCGTCATATTCACGACAAGGCCTTGAGGTCGGTCTCTTGCCGTCTTTTCCTGCTCGTTTACAATCCTTCACTTCATTGCAGACAGCGTACCCTTCTGCTTGTTCCGCCGCTCTTACTTGTGTGCTTTTGTCTTTCCTCGTGGACCTACACGCCGAGTTCCCCCGCCGCTGCAGCCGCATATCGAATCTGCGATTTGCTGCCCCTCGCCTAGTACACGGCTTTGCGAGATCTCGACAAGCCGCAGTTTTGTCCCTTCTGCGTGAGGTAGGCCTTCAGGTTTCAACTCTCAATATACACTATTTATTGTCATCAGCACGGTGTCCCCGTAGCCTCAACTGCAACAAGCGGTCCTACGCTGTCAAGTTTGACACCACTTCTTGCCCTCGACTTTGCAGTCCAACATGCTTAGCTGGCAACTATCTGTTGCTTATTTTCGTATCCTTCAAACGAATCTGCGCACCCAAGCCCACATCTTGATTTTCCTTAGGACGCTAGACGCTTGTACTGTACTAACGCCACATTCTTAGGCCGAGACATCTCGCAACAGCCAGTTTTGCATCCACGGCTTCCCTCCTACCAGCTGCTTCTTCCTCGTACCCATCCTTCATCTGTTGAAGCTTCTGTCCCGACAAGCTTGACCAAATTCTGTCGCGGCAATGGCCTCACAGTTTGCTATGCAGCCGTTTTACAGGTCTACGCCTCTAACTGTGGATACCCACCACGCCCAGCAGAAGTATTTTGAAGAAGAGGACAAGAGCGGTGTATTGGACGATGGGGTCATTGAGCACAACGCTGTTGACTCCGCCTTGGATCTCTCACCACCCATGGCCAACAGTCGACGAGAGTCCTTTGCTGTTGGCAGCACGCTTTTCTCCCCAAAGACGGAAGATTGGCAGTCTGTAGATATGCAGTCTGTGCCAACGAACCCTTTCTCGGACCAGAACGGTGGGAGCAATGTCAACGGCGCTCCCAACCCTTTCATGCAGCCACACGGCCAGGTTTTCCCTCAACACGGCTCTCAGTGGGCTATGGGCAACAACTGCGGGCCTGACAACTCCATGCAGCAGTTCAACAACGTCTCTCCTGCATTTAGTTCTGCCAACTCCGTCTTTCAGCGACCATTGCAAAACCATAACCCGTTCCACAATACGGGGAACGTGTTCGCGTCGCTTCACCAAGGGGATCAGTCTATTCCAACCTCTCCCCAGAAGGAGTGGATGGTTCCTGCGCAACCAATGAACAAGAAGATGCAGCCTGAAAGCCCCATGATTCGGTCACACAATGATATGAGACGAGGAGATGGTATCCGCAAGAAGAACGCACGCTTTGACATTCCGGCTGAACGCAATTTGAGCAATATCGATTCCCTCATCTCCCAATCCACAGATGAACAAGAGATCAAGGAGCTGAAGCAACAAAAGCGCCTGCTGAGAAACCGCCAAGCAGCGTAAGTTCCCCGACCGCCCTTGACTTTTTTTTTTTTTTTTTTTTTTTTTTT